AACGTGTTCGGGGACTCCATGAAAACCTGTATACCCCATGGTGAGGTGGTTCTTGTGTGGTCTGCCAGAAAGGAGCTGAGTTTTCATGGTCAAAAGACAAGAGAGATGGTCAGGAGTCTGTAAGAGGCAATGAGAGTTAGTTTAGAATAGAGAGAAAAGGTAGAAAATGCTTAGGTGCTAGGTGCATAAGTCTTTTCTTAGGTGAGTTTGACATCTTGACAAACCAGAAAAACAGTGATTTTTGAACTTTGTTTAGAATTTTAGTTTGTATCCTTTTCACTGACCGTAGCTGCTGTGGTGGTGCCGTGGGTCAGTGTTATTGGCAGCTTAGGCTTGGGAGGTTAACTAGCGGGATCCCTCAGCCAGTAAGTGGCGGAGCCGAGGCTCAGACGTGTGCCTCTGATTTTGTGCCTCATGCTCTCCAGCTGTGTCGTGTGGGATCTAGTGAGTGTAAATCGCAGACCTGGACAGCAGATGGCTCAGTGTGGTGTTCCTGCAAAAGCACGGGCCCCAGAACTGGTTCTGATCCTGGTTCTGCCCCGTCCTGTTTTACCTCTCTGAGCCTTACTTTCCTTACAATAAAGTTGAGATAATAATACCTGCTTTGAAACCTTACTGTAAGGATTAAATGAAAAGTGAGTAAATTGCCTGACACGTAGGAGGCACTTGGTAGATGATTGTCCTTTCCTTTCCCCTTTTGTTTATCCCCACATTTAGATACCAAGATGGATTTCCCTTATGGGTTTTAAAAAGAAATACGTATTTGGGCAGGGTGTGGTGGCTCACGCCTGTAATCCCAGCACTTTGGGAGGCAAAGGCAGGCGGATCACCTGACGTCAGGAGGTCGAGACCAGCCTGGCCAACATGGCAAAACCCTGTCTCTACTGAAAAATACAAAAATTAGCTGGGTGTGGTGGTAGGTGCCTGTAATCCCAGCTATTCAGGAGGCTGAGGCAGCAGAATTGCTTGAACCTGGGTAAAGGAGGTTGTAGTGAGCTGAGATTGCGCCATTGCACTCCAGCCTGGGAGACAGAGCAAGACTGTCTCAAAGAAGAAAAAAAGAAATATATTTGGCAGGACTTAGTAATTGAATTCACTGTGTACTGACTACTGGGAGGGAGTATTCAACTGTAAGAAATACCCTTCGCTGTCAGAGTAAAAGCAAGAATATATGTGAAAAATGTCATGTTTATGGAGCAGGCACAAATGAACCCCAGTTAATATGATGCCACCCTAAACAAATGAGTGATGTGGGTACACCCAGTGAAGAAGAGCAAAGTGAGATTCATCAGAGAGACTTCTTGGGAGTTTTGAGTCAGGAAGTACAGAATGCAGGTTGGGAAGAGAATGACAGGTGGCAGTGATATGGGGGGTGGGAGTGGCAAGGGGAAGGACTTACATGAGAGGAAGCACAAATACAAAGAGCAGATTCTTTAAGGGCATTAAACATTTTTAGTGTAAGTTGACCGTTTATAATTGTATCTATAGGATACAAATGATGTTAGGATTATGAATACTGTAGAATAAACTAACATAGCTATCACTTCAAATCCTCATTTTTTTTTGTGGTGAGAACATTGAAAATTTACTCTCAGCAATTTTGAAATGTTTAATACACTATTGTTAACTGTATTCACCATACTGTACAGTAGATCTCAAAAAACCCTCAGACTTACTCTTCCTGTCTGAGTTTGTACTCTGACCGTCATCTCCCCAGTGGTAACCACCATTGTACTCTCTGCTCCTGTGAAGTGAGGTTCTTTTAGATTGTACATATAAGTGAGAACGTGCTCTTTGTCTGCTTTGTGTACTTGGCTTATTTCACTTAGCATAACGTTCTCCCGTTCAATCCATGTTGCTGCAAATGGCAGAATTTCTTTTTTTAAGGCTGAATACTCCGTTGTGTATATATGCACCAGGTTTTCTTTATCCATTCATCTCTTTTTTTTTTGAGACGGAGTTTCGCTCTTGTTACCCGGGCTGGAGTGCAATGGTGCGATCTCGCCTCACCGCAACCTCCACTTCCCGGGTTCAGGCAATTCTCCTGCCTCAGCCTCCTGAGTAGCTGGGATTACAGGCACGCGCCACCATGCCCAGCTAATTTTTTGTGTTTTTAGTAGAGACGGGTTTTCACCATGTTGACCAGGATGGTCTCGATCTCTTGACCTCGTGATCCACCCGCCTCGGCCTCCCAAAGTGCTGGGATTTCAGGCGTGAGCCACCGCTCCTGGCCCCCTCTCATCTCTTGATGGACACTCAGATTGGTTCCATAACTTGGCTACTGTGAATAATGCTGCAGTGAACATGGGAGTGCAGATACCTCTTTGGCAAACTGATTTCAAATCTTTTAGGCAAACCCCTAGAGAAGTGAAATTACTGGGAGCCCGAGGTGGGTGGATCACGAGGTCAAGAGATTGAGACCATCCTGGTCAACATGGTGAAACCCCGTCTCTGCTAAAAATACAAAAAATTAGCTGGGCATGGTGGCGCGTGCCTGTAATTTCAGCTACTCAGGAGGCTGAGGCAGGAGAATTGCCTGAACCCAGGAGATGGAGGTTGTGGTGAGCTGAGATCGCACCATTGCACTCCAGCCTGGGTGACAAGCAAAACTATGTCTCAAAAAAAAAAAAAGAAAAAAAGAAGTGAAATTACTGGATCATATAGTAATTCTTTCTTTTTTTTTTTTTTTCTGAGGCAAGTTCTCACTCTGTTGCCCAGGCTGGAGTGCAGTGGCATAATCACAGCTCACTATAGCTCAAGTGATCCTTACACCTCAGACCCCCAAGTATCTGGGATTACAGGCGCACACCACCACACAGCTAATTTTGGTATTTTTTGTAGAGACAGTTTCGCCATATTGCCTAAGCTGTCATATGATCATTTTTTTTTTTTTTTTTTGAGACGGTTTTGCTCTTGTTGCCCAGGCTGGAGTATAATGGCACGATCTTGGCTCACTGCAACCTCTGCTGGCTGGGTTCAAGCGATTTTCCTGCCTCAGCCTCTCGAGTAGCTGGGATTACAGATGTGTACCACCACACCCAGCTAATATTTGTATTTTTAGTAGAGACGAGGTTTCACCATGTTGGCCAGGCTTGTCTTGAACTCCTGACCTCAAGTAATCTGCCTGCCCTGGCCTCTCAAAGGGTTTACAGGTGTGAGGCACCATGCCTGGCCTATTTTAAATTTTTATTTAGTAAAACATTTCTGAGTGAGGTCCCTCTTTTTTATTTTCTATTTTGTCTTATTTTTAAATATTAGAGATGGGTGTCTCACTATGTTGACCAGGCTGATCTTGATCTCCTGGCCTCAAGTGATTCTCCCATCTTGACCTCACAAAGTGCTAAGATTACAGGTGTGAGCCACCATGCCTGGCCTAATTTTTTTTTTTTTTTGTTCTTTTGAGACAGAGTCTGCTCTGTCACTCAGGCTGGAGTGCAGTGGCATAATCTCAGCTTACTGCAACCTCCGCCTCCTAGGTTCAAGCAATTCTCTCATACCTCAGCCTCCCAAGGAGCATGCACCACCACGCCTGGCTAATTTTTGTATTAGAGACGGGATTTCACCACGTTACTTGGGCTGGTCTCAAACTCCTGGGCTCAAGCAGTCCTCCCCACCTTGGCCTCCCAAAGTGCTGGGATTACAGGCATGAGGCACCTTGCCAGCCTGTCATATGGTAATTTTATTGTTAATTTTTTTTAGACAGAGTCTCACTCTGTCACCAGGTTGGAGCACAGTGGTGCACAGTGTTGGCTTACTGCATTTCTGCCTCCTTGGTTCAAGCGATTCTCCTTCCTCTGCCTCCCGAGTAGCTGGGATTACAGGCATGCGCCACCATGCCTGGCTAATTTTGTATTTTTAGTAGAGACAGGGTTTCTCCCTGTTGGTCAGGCTGGTCTTGAACTCCCGACCTCAGGTGATCCACCCACCTCAGCCTCCCAAGGTGCTGGGATTACAGGTGTGAGCCACTGCCCCCCACCCACAGTATCTTGAATATAATAGATAATTATGATTGAAAGCCCCTGGGAATAGATGAATTCAAAAAGGAACTTGTGAGATATGAGAGTGAGTGAGTATAGAACAGAGGATTTGAATTGTCACAGACTCTTGGAGATGAATGGGATGTGAGATTCTTGAGTAATTGCCTTTTTATTTACAGAAATCCAAACCAAGGCCCTGGGAACAAATGGAAATCTTTAAGGTTCATGGCTGGGGGAGTAATTTTTTAAAATAAAAATGTTAAAGCTATTCACATCCCCCACATCACTGCTAGACCTGAAGGTGCTGAGGAACTGAGATGGAGCTAAAAGTATAGCTATTTTTTAGTGTGAGAGTTTGTCTTAGAAACAATCCTGATGAGTCAGAAGGATAACACAGATGACCTGCTGTCTTGTCCCAGACCCTCACGGTCATCATTTGCCTGCCTTCTTCTTGATCATGAACAACTGTGTCAGACGATAGATCATACTTGGAGAGGGAATGGATTTCTCCAATGGCTTTGACCTTTAATGCCTCATAGAAGAGTAGTTAACACACCACTCAATCCCGCTGGAGTTCCCCAGCCTTGTGGTTATGTAGTCTATATAAGTGGTTTTAAAAGTGAAGCCGAGATTGGGTGAGATTGTGGGCCAATTCCCATTCATCTTCTAGTGGACAGAGTTATAAGAAGAAGAGTGGGTATAGCTTTTTCTTTCCACCAAGGACCAAACGGGAGGAAATAGTGTTAATTTAACAGAAAAGAAATTGAAGCCAAAAAGTCTGTGCAACAGGTCTGAGAAGGTAGGGGGATTCAGTCAAGGGAGGCCAAGGCATACCCCAATTTTTCTGAAGCTATTTGAGATCAGGAAGGAAGCTGTGTTTGACTGGGCCTGGGGTGAGTGTACGTCTGTACAGAACCGAGGCACAGACAGGATGGCCTGTGTTGTCCAACCCTTCATGTGCTTTATGTAATGTGTTTACTGCCCTAAAACAGGGAGGCCTTACTTCCTTTCTTTTTCTCTTAGTCAGATTCTGAGGAAGATGAACCCGCAAAGAAGAAAACTATCCTTCAGGTAAGCTGTGACACAAACCATTTTTTTCTCTTCCCATATTGTTACCTGAAAGATAGGACTTAACTGTATCTAGCAGTTTTCAAATTAGGTTTAGAACAAACATGAATATTTGAGGACTGTTTAGGTTCGGCTTTGTTTTTCTGTATAATTTCAGACCTTGTGCATTTCTATGCACGCCACACTGTTCCTGGCTTTAACATGCTGGTATTACCTTTCCTGGAAGAGAGGCAGTGGTAGGGAGAGGCATTGTAACTCAATTCAGTTCATTACATCTGGTGTGAAAGGATTATTTAGGGAGTAGAATAAGTGGATTAGTCAAAATGATGTTAAAATTGTCTATCTCCCTATCTCATTTTTAACCTGGAAAATAAACACTGAAATAGCACTTACTGTGTGTACCAGGCACTGTTCTAAGTGCTTTACTAGCATTTAATTGATTTCATCCTCATGACAGTGCCTAAGTCATAGTGGTATCATCCCTGTCATAGTGTTTTACATCTGAGGAAACTGAGGACCTTGCCTAAGATCAGACAACTAGTGTGAGCAGAGCTGGGATTCAGACTCGAGCAGTCTGACTATTTTTATTTATTTATTTATTTTTGAGTCGGAGCCTCACCCTGTCACCCAGCCTGAAGTGCAGTGGCACAATCTCGGCTCACTGCAACCTTTACCACCTGGGTTCAAGCGATGCTTCTGCCTCAGCATCCCAGGTAGTTGGGATTACAGGCGGGTGCCACTACGCCTGGCTACTATTTTGTATCTTTAGTAGAGGTAGGTTTTCACCATGTTGGCCAGGCTGGTCTTGGACTCCTGACTTCAGGTGATCTGCCCGCCTTAGCCTCCCGAAGTGCTGGGGTTACAGGCATGAGGCACCATGCCCGGCCACTCTGACTATTGAGTCGAAAATCTTAACTGCTGCACTTATCTCTTTGTAATTGAAAGCCGAAGTCCTCGAGGAGACAGTGCTAGTAGATGATTTTTCCTCTGTTTGCTTCTATTTCCCCTCATCTCAGTACCATTATCCTGGCCCCCAGGAGTTTCTTCCCATTCTTTCCACGCTTTGTGATTTATACACTAACTTCATGTTGATCATATGTCTCAGGGAAAAACAGAAGTGGTCCTGCTTTTATAAAGTGGTTGTCTTGTGACTCAAGTATACGAAGCTGCCCGTTCTCCTGACTCGGTTAAATGTTGCTTCCACCTCTGAGCAGTCTTAGAAGGACGTGGTTTTTTGGAAGTTAGAAAGATAACTGGCGAGGCTGGTGTTTGTACTTCCGAAAAAGGAGTCATGGAGGAAGCTGGCGTGCTGAGACTGAGCAAAGGCTGTCCTCTTACCAGGATGGCTTCCAGGAGGAGGTGGACTGGCTCAGAAGGTACCCCCACTGTAAAGACTGTAAAGAACAGTCTTCCAGATGGTAGGAAGACATGAGTAGATAGAGGAATTCTGAGCTCTTAAAGCTGAGTGGGGACCCAGCACTGCAAAGCGATGCAGCCATGATCGCAGACATCTGAGAAGTCAGACACTTCAAAGGTAGCTTGAGGGTGTGCCCTGCTCATACCTCAGTCTGGTTCTATGAACTGGAGCCTCTGGGCACTGCCAGGCCGAACTAACCCAAATTTGTGAACACACACAGCAAGAAGAGCCCACTCTCCAGATGAGCTATTCTGTGTGGCTTGCTTGACTCGATGTCTTATTTTACTCACTCTGGGCATTTTTGGCGGAGAGAGCCGGAGTACACTGGTACTCTAAGATAGTGACACAGTGACCTTATTCCATTCTCCTTTTCCAGTTGGCATTTCCCTCAGCCCTACAAATGTAGGCCAAAATGGGCCAACCTGGCCTTTTAGCATAGAGAAAGCAGAATCTGAGATTCTTTTGAGTAATAGGAACTCCGGTGGGCTGGGCCAATTAGTTTACAGATTAAAAGTTAAATGCTTGACTCTGGCATTAACAAGCTTATAAGGCCAGGCGCGGTGGGGCCCATGCCTATAATACCAGCAAGTGGATCCTGAGGTCAGGAGTTTAAGACCAGCCTGGCCAACATGGTAAAACCCTGTCTCTACTAAAAATATAAAAATTAGCTGATGTGGTAGCGGGCACCTGTAATCCCAGCTACTCCGGAGGCTGAGGCAGGAGAATTGCTTAAACCTGGTTGCCGTGAGCCAAGACTGAGCCACTGCAATCTAGCCTGGGTGACAGAGCAAGATTTCATCTTGAAAAACCAAAAAAAAAAAAAAAAAAGGCCAGGCGCGGCGGTGGCTCACGCCTATAATCCCAGCACTTTGGGAGGCTGAGGTGGGTGGATCACGAGGTCAGGAGTTCAAGACCAGACTGGCCAATGTGGTGAAACCCTGTCTCTACTAAAAAATACAAAGATTAGCTGGGCATGGTGGCTCATGCCTATAATCCCAGCTACTTGGGAGGCTGAGGTTGGAGAATTGCTTGAACCGGGACCTGGAAGGTGGAGGTTGCAGTGAGCTGAGATCACACCACTGCACTCCAGCCTGGGCTACAGAGCAAGACTCTGTCTCAAAAAAAAAAGAAAAACCAAAAAAAAAAAACAAGCTAATAAGCCATATCTATAGGGCTTTCCTTTGGTAGGGTTGGGGATTGTCTTCAGATTAAAAAATAGAGCATATATACACTAATTTCTGGCTGACAAAACTACCTCTGTATGTATGATGGCACTAAATTACATATTTCTGTAAAAAGCTGTAATGTTGACAGGTATGGTGTCTCACACCTGTAATCCTAGCACTTTGGGAGGCCGAGGTGGGTGGATCACCTGAAATCAGGTGTTTAAGACCCGCCTGGCCAACATGGTGAAACCCCGTCTTTGCAAAAATACAAAAATTAGCGGGATATAATGGTGGGTGTCTAATCCCAGCTACTCGGGAGGCTGAAGCAGGAGAATCGCTTGAACCCAGGAGGCAGAGGTTACAGTGAGTGGAGATTGCGCCACTGCACTTTAGCCTGGGCGACAGAGTGAGATTCCGTCTCAAAAAAAAAAAAGCAATAATGTGTTAGATTAGGGAAATTGCAAGCCGAGTAAGTCTGAAAAGAGCTGAAGATGATCTTACAAAAACCCTTTCAGGCCAGGGGTGGTGGCTTATGCCTGTAATCCTAGCACTTTGGGAGGCAGAGGCAGCTGGATCATGAGGTCAGGAGTTCAGGACCAGCCTGGCCAACATGGTGAAAATCCGTCTCTACTAAAAATACAAAAATTAGCCAGGCATAGCGGTGGGAACCTGTAATCCCAGCTACTCTGGAAGCTGAGGCAGAGAATTGCTGGAACCTGGCAGGCAGAGGTTGCCGTGAGCCTAGATTGTGCCACTGCACTCCAACCTTGGCGACAGAGTGAGACTCCAACTCAAGAAATAATACCCTTAGCATTCAAGTCCAAAGATATCTGCCCCACCTGAGCTGAGGCTTCAGGTTCCCATTTAAGTGGGGTAGGGAAAGAGAAAGGAAATCCTATCTTCTTTGCTTTGGGGATCGTGACAACGAGAGCAATTTAAAGAGCTGGAAGAAGCTGTGTCAGGCCTCTTGCAGTCTCTGGACTGACTGCTTCCTTGGCCAACATGCTGGGCCTCCACTTTTTCCTAGGCATCAATAGCACTGCTGAGGGGTCTCATGCAGGGTTAGCTTACTCCCTTGGTCAGGGGAAGGGACTTTTTTTTTTTTTTTAATATAGAGTCTCACTCTGTTGCCCAGGTTGGAGTGCAGTGGTGTGATCTCAACTCACTGCAACCCTGCCTCCCAGATTCAAGCGATACTCCTGCCTCAGCCCCCCGAGTAGCTGGGATTACAGGTGTGTGCCACTACGCCTAGCTAATTTTTGTATTTTTGGTAGAGATGGGCTTTCGGTATGTTGGCCAGGATGGTCTTGAACTCCTGACCTTGTGATCTGCCCTCCTTGGCCTCCCAAAGCGCTAGGAGTACACTCGTGAGCTGCCGTTCCCAGCAGAGAAGGGACTTTTGGCAATACTATTAACTGTCTCTTTTGGACAGAACCTTGTTCTTGATTTTGGGTGGCATTCCAAAGGAAGGAGAGGGTTCTCGTGTTAAAAGTTCCCTTCAGGATATGGAGAGAGGTTGAGCAGTGAGCTGGAGAGAGACCTGGGCTTTTTGGGAGGAAGGACATTGTGGGGTTAAGAGCATCGTGTTTGCTGAAGACACAGAGTTGAGGAAGGCTCTGTGGAAGAGGGCAGTGGAGCTGGGCTGGGATGGAGTCTAAGAGAAGAGTAATGATACCTCACCTTGGGAGAAGCAGCCAGCAGAAGGGCCTGAGGTAGGAGTAGGCAAGCCCAGATTGGGTAATCTGAGTGGATGGAGGTAAGGAGGAAAGAAGGGCTGTTAAGATTTTAGGCTGGAGGACTTATCTGTAATTGTTGTTTTTGGTGATGCTCGTACATAAAATCTCACTTGTCATCTTTCTTTCCTCCTACCCCAAACCCGGGCTCACCAGGGATCCGGCGAGGGGACTGGTTTGTCTGCCTTGCTTCCCCAACCTAAAAACCTGACTGTGAAAGAGACTAACAGGTTGCTCCTGCCCCATGCCTTCTCCCGAAAACCCTCGGATGGCTCCCCTGATACTAAGCCCTCCAGACTGGCAGTGTCTAAGACCAAGACTTCCTCTCTTGCCCCTGTTGTGGGCACCACAACCACCACTCCGTCGCCCTCTGCTATCAAGGCTGCTGCCAAGAGTGCTGCCCTGCAGGTGACAAAGCAGATCACTCAGGAGGAGGATGACAGTGATGAGGAAGTAGCCCCTGAAAACTTTTTCTCCCTCCCTGAAAAGGCTGAGCCACCTGGAGTTGAGCCATACCCTTATCCCATCCCCACTGTCCCCGAAGAGCTGCCTCCAGGCACGGAACCAGAACCGGCTTTCCAGGACGATGCAGCCAATGCCCCCCTTGAATTCAAGATGGCAGCAGGCTCAAGTGGCGCCCCTTGGATGCCTAAGCCTGGGGACGACTACAGCTACAATCAGTTTTCCACATATGGCGATGCCAATGCCGCTGGTGCTTATTATCAGGTGAGTAGGAGCATGGAGGGCAGGTGAGGGAATGTTGGAGCATGGTGGTCAGGGAGAGCTTTGAGCTAGTGATACAGCCTCTGTGGTGTCACTTTGGCTAAATTAACCTTCCGGTGTCTGATTTTTCTGTACTTATTAGGGGGCTGCAGAACATACGTTTATTCTGAACTATATTAATCTAAATTGCCCTAATCTTGAAGTCTGACACGGTGAACCACATAAATGACACCTTTATTCTGAAGACAATCTATTTATTTTTTATTGATCCATATTTGTCCGTATTTATGATTGATACATACATGTTTTTTCTTCCTAACCTTTATTTTATGTTCAGGAGGTACGTGTACAGGTTTGTTATGTGGGTAAATTGCATGTCACAGGGGTTTGGTGTACAGATTATTTTGTTACCCAGGTAATGAGCATAGTACCCGATAGATAGGTTTTTGGCTTTTTTTGAGATGGAGTCTCACTCTGTCACCCACGCTGGAGTGCAGTGGCTTAATCTTAGCTCAACTACAACCTCTGCCTCCCGGGTTCAAGTGATTCTCCTGCCTCAGCCTGCTGAGTAGCTAGGACTACAGGTGTGTACCACCACTGCCAGGCCTAGCTAATTTTTGTATTTATATATATATTTTTTTGAGTTAGAGTCTTGCTCTGTCGCCCAGGCTGGAGTGCAGTAGCACAACTTCAACTCACACAACCTCCGCCTCCCAGGTTGAAGCAATTCTCCTGCCTCAGCCTCCCGAATAGCAAGGACTGCTGGTGTATTCACCATGTCCGCTAATTTAATTTTTTCGTTTTTAGTAGAGACAGGGTTTCACCATGTTGGCCAGGCTGGTCTTGAACTTCTGGCCTTAAGTGATCTTCCTGATTCAGCCTCCCAAAGTGATGGGATTATAGTCTGAGCCACCACGCTTGGCTGTAATAGGTAGTTTTTGATCCTACCCTCCACACTCAAGTAGGCCCTGGTGTCTGTTCCCTTCCTTGTGTCCCCATGCGCTCAATGTTTAGTTCCCATTTATAAGTGAAGATGTGGTATTTGGTTTTCTGTTTCTGCGTTAATTTGCTTAATGGCTTCCAGCTCCATCCATGCTGCTGCAAAGGACAGGATTTTGCTCAATTTTTATGGCTGTGTAGTATTCCATGGTATATATGTACCACGTTTTCTTTATCTAGTCCACCGTTGAGGGCACGGAGGTTGATTCTGTCTTTGCTGTTGCATATAGTGCCATGATGAACATGTGTGCATGGCCTTTACAGTAGAACAATTCATATTCTTTTGAGTATATATCCAGTAATGGGATTGCTGGGTTGAATGGTAGTTCTGTTTTAAGTTCTTTTTATTTTTTTTATTTTTTATTTCATTTTTTGGAACTTTCCAGGCAGGCGCAAGAACAACTGTTTTAAGTCTTTTGAGAAATCGCCAAACTACTTTCCACGGTGGCTGAACTAATTTACATTCCCATCTGCATTGTATAAGTGTTCTTGTTTCTTCACAGCCTTGCCAGTGTCTGTTATTATTTTTATTTTTTTGAGAGGGAGTTTTGCTGTTGTTACCCAGGCTGGAGTGCAATGGCGTGATCTCGGCTCACCGCAACCTCCGCCTCCTGGGCTCAGGCAATTCTCCTGCCTCAGCATCCCGAGTAGCTGGGATTACAGGCACTCACCACCATGCCCAGATAATTTTTTATATTTTTTGTAGAGACGGGGTTTCACCTTGTTGACCAGGATGGTCTCGATCTCTTGACCTCGTGATCCACCCGCCTCTGCCTCCCAAAGTGCTGGGATTATAGGCATGAGTCACTGCGCCCGGCCTATTTTTTGACTTTTTAACAATAGCCATTCTGACTGGTGTGAGATGGTATCTCATTTCGGTTTTGATTTATATTTGCCTGATAATTAGTGATGTTGAGCATTTACAAATATAGCTATTGGCCATTTCTGATTTCTGTTGCTTCTTTTTTTTTTTTTTTTGAGACAGAGTCTTGCTCTGTTGCCCAGGCTGGAGTGCAGTGGCTTGATCTCGGCTCACTGCACTTCCGCCCCCTGGGTTCAAGCAGTTCTTCTGCCTCAGCCTTCTAAATAGCTGGGATTACAGGCACCCACCACTGTGCCCAACTAATTTTTGTATTTTTAGTAGAGACAGAGTTTCACCATCTTGGCCAGGCTGGTCTCGAACTCCTGACCTCGTGATCAGGAGTTAATTGTTAAGTTTGAGTTTCTTGTATATTCTTCAGTTTGATCCCTTGTCAGATATATCTATCTATGAATATATTCCCCCATTCTCCATATTGTCTCTCTATTCTGTGCAGAAGCTTTTTGGTTTAATATACTGCCATTTGTCAAATTTTGGTTTTTGTGGTTTTTTTTTTTTTAGATGGAATCTTGCTCTGTCGCCCAGGCTGGAATGCAGTTGGCACACTCTCTGCTCACTGCATCCTCTGCCTGCCAGGTTCAAGAGATTCTCTTGCCTCAGCCTCCTGAGTAGCTGGGATTACAGGTGCCTGCCCCCACGCCCAGCTAATTTTTGTATTTTAATTTTTATTATTTTAATTTAATTTTATTTATTTGTTTATTTTTTTTCTTGAGACAGGGTCTCGCTCTGTTGCCCAGCTGGAATGCAGTGGCGTGATCTTGGCTCACTGCAACCTCCGTCTCCTGGGTTCAAGCGATTCTCCTGCCTCAGCCTCTGAGCAGCTGGGATTACAGGCATGTGCCACCACGCCTAGTTTTTTTGTGTTTTTGGTAGAGGTGGGGTTTCACCATGTTAGCCAGTCTGGACTTGAACTCCTGACCTCAAATGATCCACCCGCCTCGGCCTCCCAAAGTGCTGGAATTACAGGCATGAGCTATCGCACCTGTCCTGTTTTTATTTATTTATTTATTTAGTTTTGAGATGGATTCTTGCTCTGTCACCCAGGCTGGAGTGCAGTGGCATGATCTTGGCCCACTGCAAACTCTGCCTCCCGGGTTCAAGCAATTATCCTGCCTTAGTCTCCTAAGTAACTGAGATTACAGGCGCCTGCCACCATGCCCGGCTAGTTTTATATTTTTTAGTAGAGACTGGGTTTCATCATGTTGGTCAGGCTGGTCTGGAATTCCTGACCTCATGTGATCCACCCATCTCCGCCTCCCAAAGTGATGGGATTACAGGCGTGAGCCACCATGCCTGGCCGACTTTCTATTTTATTGCCTGTGGTTTTGAGGTCTTAGCTGTAAAATTTTTGCCTAGACCGGTGTCCTGGAGCACATCCCCTATGTTAAAAACAAAATCTGTTTGTGGGAGCTGGTGAGACGTGTGAGGAGAAGGCGGAAGAGGACTGGTCTCTAATCTTAGAGTTACAGGATAGCATCCTCAAAAGTGGGTGATGTGGGTAAGGGAGCTATGGCATAGACTTCTAGATAGCACTTAGTCTAAGAAGACTTTCCAGAGGTGAGGAGTATTGAGAAAACAGGAAGGGAGAGGTGGGACGGAGGAGGAAAGAAGGGAATCTGGAGGGTTGAGTGCAAAGTAAGAATAAAGTGAATCCTGAGGGTGGTTTAAGTTTGAATCACAAGCCGAGTTTGGGCAAGTTACTTAACTGCCTCTCTCAGTCTCAGATTCTTCAGGTGTAAAAGGGGATATCTGAGCGCACCTCAAAGGCTTGCTAAAAGAATTACATTAGCCGAGCATGGTGGTTCCTGGAAAATAGTGAATGTTTAGTAAGTGGTGATTGTAACTTTTTTTTTTTTGCGACGGAGTTTCGTTCTTGTTACCCAGGCTGGAGTGCAATGGTGCAATCTCGGCTCACCGCAACCTCCGCCTCCTGGGTTCAGGCAATTCTCCTGCCTCAGCCTCCTGAGTAGCTGGGATTACAGGCACGCGCCACCATGCCCAGCTAATTTTTTGTATTTTTAGTAGAGATGGGGTTTCACCATGTTGACCAGGATGGTCTCGATCTCTTGACCTCGTGATCCACCCGCCTCGGCCTCCCAGAGTGCTGGGATTACAGGCGTGAGCCACTGCGCCCGGCCGATTGTAACTTTTTATTCACCTGTTTGGAAGAGCTGTTTAGATTTGTTCCAGATGGCCTCAGAGAGTGAAAGTATAGAATTCCAGGTTGTGAGTAGGTTTAAGAGATAATTCCTAGCAGTTAGAGCTTCCCAAGATGTAGAGGGCTCCTAGGAAGAGGAGCTGGGGGACCTGGCACCAGTGGTGGGGTTGAACAGAGGCAGCTGGCTGGCCCCATGGACTGGGCAGCTTCAGCAAGTTTTACTGCCAGCCTGGAATGGTTGGAAGACTTAAGTCCCTTCAACCACTGTGACTCTGAGTGGTCAGTGTTATTATTTTCAATTTGGGCATGAGTAAGGAGGGAGGGCTTTGAGAAGAACCTGTTCTGACCAAATACTTTGAAAACAATTGTGTTTCCTAAATCTTTGCTGTTAAACCTTGTTGTTTCCTATAGGCTGAGCAGAGACAGTATATCTTCCCTTAAGGCTGTTAGAAGGATGAAGATAGGCGGGGCGTGGTGGCTCATGCTGGTTATCCTTTGGGAGGCTGAGGTGGGTGGATCACCTGAGGTCAGGAGTTGGAGACCAGCCTGGCCAATCTGATGAAACCCTGCTTCTACTAAAAATATAAAAATTAGCCAGATGTGATGGCATGTGCCTATAATCTCAGCTACTCAGGGGAGGCTGAGACAGGAGAATCACTTGAACCCGGGAGGCGGAGGTTGCGGTGAACTGAGATGGTGCCATTGCACTCCAGCCTGGGCAACAAGAGTGAAATTCTGTCTCAAGAAAAAAAAAAAAAGAAAGGATGGAGGAGGACGATAATAAGTGTTGTTACTTCTTTAGCAGAAAAACAAAAAGATGCTATTTCAATCCAAGAACCACTGATTTACACCCAGCAAATGAATAACAAATTGAAATTCTTTTTTTTGTTGTTGCCCAGGCTATAGTGCAATGGCTTGATCTTGGCTCACTGCAACCTCCGCCTCCTGGGTTCAAGCGATTCTCCTGCCTCAGCCTCCTAAGTAGTTGGGATTATAGGCACCCACCACCATGCCTGGCTAATATTTTGGCACTTTTAGTAGAGACAGAGTTTCACCATGTTGGTCAGGCTGGTCTTGCTCAGGTAATCCACCTGCCTTGGCCTCCCAAAGTGCTGGGATTACAGGCATGAGCCACCATACCCGGCCAACAAATTGAAATTCTTATTTTTTCTTTTTTAAGATGGGGTTTCACCATGTTGGTCAGGCTGGTCTTGAACTCCCGACCTCAGGTGATCCGCCCTCCTTGGCCTCCAAAGTGCTTGGATTACCCGCATGAGCCACCACGCCCAGCCAACGAATTGGAATTCTATATGCAGTTATAAACATCATTGAGATAATCTACATAAAGTAAAACATTTTAAGTATACTAGGGGATGCTGAAATTTAAATGTATCTTATTTCTTTTTTTTTTTTTTTTTTGAGAAGGAGTTTTGCTCTTGTTGCCCAGGCTGGAGTGCAATGGCGCGATCTCGGCTCACTGCAACCTCTGCCTCCTGGGCTCAGGCAATTCTCCTGCCTCAGCCTCCTGAGTAGCTGGGATTACAGGCACGCGCCACCATGCCCAGCTAATTTTTTGTATTTTTAGTAGAGACGGGGTTCACCATGTTGACCAGGATGGTCTCGATCTCTTGACCTCATGATTCACCCGCCTCGGCCTCCCAAAGTGTTGGGATTACAGGCGTGAGCCACCGCGCCCGGCCTTAAATGTATCTTATTGTGAATACCGTTATAAAAAAAAATCTATACTGTAATTGCTCAGGATTTTTATATATTATTTTCATGTAGTGAATATTAAACCCATTTTCATTTACCTCATCATAAAACGAATGTTCTTAGTGGTGCATTTCATGGAATTTAAGATGAAGTGGAAGAGTTAGGAAAAAGTGTAGGCAAGGAGGAAAGAGTTTATTGGCCCTGTGGCTGCCTGACTTGGCCAAGCAGGGGCCTTGCCATTGCCTTCACCCTCCTCTTCCGTTAGGGTCTGCAACAACATCTGAGCCACTCAACTCTGAGGGGAATCATGGGATTCCTGAGCTAAAAATCTGGTAAACAAACCTGCTTTGTAAGTTTCCTTACATTCCTAATAGTGGTTATTTTAAATCAGAGATCTGCAACCTCCCCACCCCGTCTAGACTGTTCCCTGTATCCACAGGACTAAACTAGAATGAGGAGCAGGAATGGCATGACATATGCCTTCTTGTCCCTGCTCGCATTGCAGCTCATTGGGCATCTTATGGGCAGGAGGAGCAGGGCTGAGGGCATGGTAGAGGTGAGGGGTGAGAGTTGCTCTTAGGAAGTAGCTGAGGGAGCAGGGTGTAGATTGAAGCAAGAGAGACTGTCTTTATTTCTTCTTCCCCTTGGCTAAAAAATACCCATCTGTCTGGATAGTGTAGATTGGAAAAGCTGTAGGGATTGTTCTTGAGTTACAGGGTAGGTCCTTGGGATCTATGCCTTTAACTGGTCTGTTTGAGGAAGCTGTAGTGTGGGTGTCTCACCATTGCCTGTTTGATGAGGATATTCTGTTTCTGGACACATCTTACTGTCCCCTGTCCAACTCTGCCCTCACTTGGTGTGTTTTTCTTTCCTCTTTGGCTGCAGGATTATTACAGTGGTGGCTACTATCCTGCACAGGACCCGGCCCTGGTCCCCCCACAGGAAATTGCCCCAGATGCCTCCTTCATTGATGACGAAGCAGTAAGTTAACAAAGCTGCAAGTGACCATCTTTGACCCCTGGGCACCATGTTTCACATCTGAAGCCAAAGGAAATTAAAAAAGACACACACACAAAAGACAAAACTGTATCAGGATTAGGTTGGCAACATGTAACTGAGAAACGAAATAATAGTGGCTTATAAAGGAAGTTAGCTTTTTTCTTCATGGAAGAAGGATATAGGTAGGCAGGCCAGGGGTGCTTTGCAGCTCCACAGAGTTGGGTAGCTAGTCCCTTTTTTTTTTTTGGTGGTAGAGATGGGGTCTTGCTTGTTGTCCAGGCTGCCCTTGAACTCCTGGGCCCAAGCAATTTTTCTGCTTTGGTTTCCCAAAGTGTTGGGATTACAGGGGTGATTTACCATGCCTGGTCTCAGTCTCTTTCTGATTATCACTTTGCTGTCCCTAGGCCGTGGCCTTTATTCTTATGGTCCATGATAGCAGCTAAGGAAAGCTACAGCGTCGCACTGGCGTTGGAGATGCAGCAGGGTAGAGAAAGAAAGAGGAGGAACACTTCCCCCGCTTTCTAGGAGACTTCCTGAACATTCATAAGAGCATGTCCACTTTGATCTCACTGACTAGAATCTGCTCACGTGGCCATATCTAGTTGTTTGGGTTTTTTTTTTTTTTTTAATGTTTTTGTTTGGAGCAGAGTCTTGCTCTTTCACCCAGGCTGAAGTGTGGAGGCATGATCTCAGTTCACTGCAACCTCTGCCTCTCAGGCTCAAGCGATTCTTGTGCCTCAGCCTTCTGAGTAGGAGTAGCTGGGATTACAGCGTGTACCACCATGCCCAGCTAATTTTTGGATTTTTAGTAGAGACAAAGTTTCACCACATTGGCCCAGGTGGGTCTTGAACTCCTGGCCTCAAGTGATCCGCCCCTCTTGGCCTCCCAAAGTGTTGGGATTACAGGTGTGAGCCACCACATCCAGCTAGTTGTAAGTGGTCTAGGAAATATAGTGTTTTAGTTGTATGGTAATATGCCCAGGAAAAATTTTGGATTCATTCACACTGAAGAAAGGGAGAATGGATTTGGGGAGGCACCAAGCAGCTATGTTAAGTAACCCTTGTGTTTCACATAATGGTATCTCCCTGCTGCTGAGCTTTCCCAAGCTTCAGCAAAAGGAAAGGTAAGAGGACAATGTCCTGTGACTTTCAGGCTCTTATTGAGGATATAAAATACTGTTCTATCTGCAGGTAAGTCACAGCCTATTAGGAGGAATCTGCAGAAATAGAGGGTGCTACCTCTCCATGGAGGTTCTTATAAAAAATAACTCTTTTCTGCTTACTTTTTCCTAGAAACATATCCATCCCTTTGCATGCTTCTGCCTGTGCTTGATAGTGTGTCCATCCACTCTCCTTCTTGGCAAGTTTGATAGTTGGTTTCTTTGGGAACCAGCTAAGCCTAGCTGAGAACCCACTTAGTGGAAAGGTCAGTTTCTTACAGGTAGAGTGAGGGTAGAAGGCCTCACTAATATTGAGATCAGGGTCTGGGTCTCACTGAAGCTTCTGAGTTTTAAAATTCGATTCTGCTTCGCCCACATTCCTTTTGAGGCACACCTCTGGATGACTTGTGTGATTTGTAATTTTTTTTTTTTTTTTTTAGGAGGAAAGAGTAACAGTCTCCTAGAAAGTTTACTGGACTTTTTTTTTTCTTCTTTACCCTTAAAAACTCTTTTGATCCATGTCGAGAAGCCAGCAGAAAAGTAAAGAAAAAAAACTCTTTTGAAGTAAAGCTCAACTTGTGTGTGTGCATGAGGCTTCTTTTCTATGCAGCCCCACATTTGTTGTCTGTAATGTCCACTCTCGTGTGGGGTCTGTTGATTTGATGATACCGAACAATTAGAAGGAACAGAGATGGACAAAGAACTGATTTTTAAAGGGAAAATCCCGGAGTTTTGTGTTTTTTCGGGGGCTTGGAATTTTATTTTTTATTTTAATTTTTTTAGAGGTGAGGTCTTGCTGTGTTTCCCAGGGACCACAGGCACACACCACCACACTTGGCTAATTCTTTTGTAGAGAGGGGGTCTCACTTTGTTGCCTAGGCTTGTCTTAAACTCCTGGGCTCAAATGGTCCTTCCACCTTGGCCTCCCAAATGCTGGTATTATAGGTGTGAGTCACCTTGCCTGGCCTACTCTGAATTCTTAATATGGAAACTGTATACAGTCCTTTTAAGCAGATGCCATTAAAAATAAAATAGATTCAAGGCTACGTGTGCCAGTCTGTAACATGGATATATTGCATAGCGGTAGGCAGATACCATTTGAGTGCAAATTTATGCCACTGGTTCTCTGCACTCATTCACGTTTGGAGATACCTCTTAGCTTCCCTTTCCCTGGGTCCAGGAGACCTGAGTAGAAGTAGCCTTTTATCTGGCATCAAGGGAGTTTGGTAGATGGCAGGGTGAAAGGACGGAGAGAAGGACTGAGGGTACCTTGGGATTGGTGAGTCACAAAATCATTCCATAAACTCTGGCTCTTTAGTGACATCTGCTGATCCCCTTGCCTAGATTCCTGACTCCTGCATTTTTTTTTTTATTTTCCAGTTTAAGCGGCTACAGGGCAAGAGGAACCGAGGGAGGGAAGAAATCAACTTTGTGGAGATCAAAGGTGATGACCAGCTCAGTGGGGCCCAGCAATGGATGACTAAGTCATTGACAGAAGAGAAAACCATGAAGTCATTCAGCAAAGTAAGTGGGAAAGGTCTACTGAATGGCCAACTTGGGAAACCGCAAAGCAAATCTTGTCTTACACCCCATTGTTATTGTCACAGCACCCTTTTTTTTTTTTTTTGGACAGAATCTCACTCTGTCACCCAGGCTGGAGTACAGCGGTATGATTTCAGCTCACTGCAGCCTCTGTTGCCCAGGTTCAAGCGATTCTTCTGCCTCAGCCTTCCTGAGTAGCTGGCGTTTTAGGTGCCTGCCAACATGCCCAGCTTATTTTTGTATTTTTAGTAGAGATGGGGTTTTGCCATCTTGTCCAGGCTGGTCTTGAACTCCTGACCTCGTGATTCACCCACCTTGGCCTCCCAAAGTGTTGAGATTACAGGCGTGAGCCACCTCCCTGGCCACAGCATCTTTAGCAAACACATTTTGCCCATGGCACTAGAGTGTGCAGCAAACCTCACAGATATAGCTCCTGCCCTTCAGAACTTTGCAGTACTTTTAACAGCTCTCCAGCTGGATGGGGGTGTCTGGTTGCTGAGACTGAGTGGTTGGAAAGGACTCCCAGCCTGTGGTGTGGCTCCTTCCCAGGCTGCACAGAATCCACAGCTGCTCTGCTCTTTCCCTATAGTCAGATCCTTCTTTCTTTCTTTTTTTTTTTTTTTTATTGAAAGTTTTTTGCTTTTTTTTGTTTTAATTTTTATTCTTTTAAAATACTATCTTCTTCTTTTCTTCCCTCCCTCCCTTCCTCCTTCCTTCCTTTTGTTTTCATTTTTTTGTTATTTTTTTTTCTTCAGCGTCTCACTCTGTTGCCCAAGCTGGCATGCCCTGGCTCAATCACAGCTCATTGCAACCTCTGGCTCCCAGGCTCAAATGATCCTCCCACTTCAGTCCCCTGAATTGCTGGGACTATGGGTGCATGCCACCATACCCATCTGATTTTTTAGAGATGGAGTTTCACCATGTTGTCCAGGCTGGTCTCGAACTCCTGGCCTCAACTGATCCACCCACCTTGGCCTTGGCCTCCCAAAGTGCTGAGATTACAGGCACCAGCCACTATACCCGACCTCAGTTCATTGTTTCAAGCTGGGACCTGGCTCAGCATATCTCTGAAGTGTGGGCACAACAGAACCTGGAGTCCCGAGATTCTGAGCGTACAACTCTTCTGTGTTCTCTCCGTTATTTATTGTAGCCAGCTGTCGTCTTTCCCAGTGCTTTTATTCATCACATTTCCCACATCACACTCCTGCCTTCTCTGTCCTAGTTTCTTCAGTCAGTATGATGAACATCTCCACCTAGTAGCTGAGAACAGCAAATGTGGACATTTATGAGCCTGCCACTGGGGGAAAATGTTGGGAAGCCCTGGACTTGTGCCCAGCACCAGCAAGGCCAGGGTCGAGGATTTTGTTCCCTTTTCCTCCCCCCATTTGCTTTGCTTTGTTCTGTGGCCACAGATGGCCATGCAAGCCCCAGCCGTTTGTTTTAACTGAATGCTGGCGGTCATACAGGACAGAGCAAAGGATTGTGGTTAGATCAGCATAGATCCAACACTGTTTACTGGAAAAGCCACTTAGGAGAGTGTGCTCTACCAACTGTGGGTCGAGAAGCATAGTCACGTAGTAATAGCTACTGTCATTAATGCTCACCGTGGGCCAGGAATGGAGCTGGATGTTTTATGTATGTCATCTTTAACTGTCACATTAAATGACATTCAATAGCAGCAAGCAGTTAGTATTTGCTATTTTCCTATCTTCAAGTTTTCTTGCCACCCTCTTATTGTATTGAAGTAGATTTTGTTATAAGGAGAAAAAGATATGGTCCTTGTCCTTGAGGAGTTGACAGCATAGTTGGGAAGAACAGATTTAAGGACACTTGAGTGTAAATGATTACAGCACAAATTGATTACATAAGTGCTGAGGATACTCTAGAGAGGAGTTTTGGGAGTTGGGTGGAGATGATTAGGAAGCTTCTAGTCTGAGACAACTCTGGCAGAGGACAGAGAAACCGCAGAATGAAAGCCCAGACCAATATAGACTTTGACAGTAAATCATTTGCATCAAAGTTTGGTTACGGGTTCAATGCCGTTACGGGCGGAGGCTGGAAGATTGGGGAGAGGTGGAGTGATTGTGAAATTTCTAATTCCAGGGAAGCTGCTGGCACTTACTAGAATGGGGAAGGTGGGGTTTTAGCCAGAGATGATTGATGGGAGTGAGCCTGGTAAGCAGAAGGTAGGAGACAGGCTAGACATCTGGCTTGACTGGGGAGAAGGGGACAGAGATGAAGAGGGTTCGAAGGGAGATGGGCATGGGGATTGTGGGGGGGCCTTGCAGGGGGGCAGAAGGTCACCTGTGCCCTGGCCCACAAACTGTTTCAGGCTGACTGCGGCAGTAAAACTGATCTCAGATGTCCATAGCGGCCAAAGCCCCGTGCTGGGTGCTAGGGGTCTGGTGGGATTACCAAAGAGGCAGAAGACAGTCCTGACCTCAAAGTATTTCCAGTCTAGCGGGGTATATTAGCAGGCTTTTTCAGGCAAGTGTTCTTAGCTTGGTTTTTTTGTATAATGGCTTTAATGAAAATAGACTTTGTAAGTATATAGAGGTAAAACAGCTCCAACTTTTCTCCCCCAGGATTTGGGCTGTGGAATCGGCCTCTCAGTCCCTAACACCGCACTATCTGGGCACATGAGAAATTTCTGCTTTCATCCTGTGGATTAATGACTATGTTTTCTTCTCTTGCAGAAGAAAGGTGAGCAGCCAACAGGCCAGCAGCGGCGGAAACACCAGATCACATATCTGATTCATCAGGTGAGAGAGAGCTGAGGGCTCTGGCTCAGGCAGAATTCCTGTAAATCTGGGAATTTGAAGGATGAGATACGGGTTAGAAGCCCGGATGCCAGGGACCATCTTCTGGCAGACATCCTCTCCTGTTCTCAGAGTGGCCACTAGGAGGGGATATATCCTTCAGAATTATTCTGCTCTACTTCAGTCTGACTGCAGATAAGATTCAGGTGCAGGTGCTTGAATAAAACTCTGTTAAGTGAAAATCCAGATATCCAAAACATAATTTAAGAGGCGAGTGAAATGGTTTATCATAGGGTTCTTTTAAATAGCAACTTTCTCTAGTAATTTAAAAAACTTAAAAAAAAAGTTGATTCATCTATTTAGCAAAACATCCACCTGATGAAGAGGTTGGTTTTATATTCTCCACTTCTGTGACAGGGAGCATCAACACAAATAATTCAGAATTACAGGTAATCCAAAAATGTCTTTTGAAATTAGAATGTCTTGCAATTTATTTAATATGACTGGGCAGCTTTCAAATACAGTTGACCCTTGGCCAACACAGAGGGTTAGGGGTGCCAACACCCTGAACAGTCAAAAATCTGCATATAACTTTTTTTTTTCCTTTTTGGAGACAGGGTCTTACTCTGTCACCCAGGCTGGAGTGCAGTGGCACAATCACGGCTCACTGCAGCCTCCACCTCCTGGGCTCAAATGATCCTCCCACCTCAGCCTTCAAAGTAGCTGGGACCACAGGTGTGTGCCATCACATCTAGCTAATTAAAAAAATTTTTTTTGTAGAGATAGGATCTCCCTGTGTAGCCCAGGCTATGTGTATAATTTTTGATTTCCCTAAAACTGAACTACTAATTGCTTACTGTTGACCAGAATCCTTACCGATAACACATTTTGTATTTTGCAAAATGTGCTGGGTTTTCACACCTGCTGACATAGCTGCAACAATAACTTCATAAATTTCCTTTTATTTTGAGACAGAGTCTTGCTCTGTCACCAGGCTGGAGTGCAGTGGCATGATTTCTTTTTTTTTTTTTTTAACAATTGTCCTTATGCTGGATTTGTTGGTCTTGAAGTGGCAGGCAAGTGCAAATGCAGCTGCAGACCTTAATCTACAGAACGTACCAAACGAGCAACTTTTTCTTGTGATGTCATCACTTTGCTGCTTGGGAACACTTGAGCATGACTAGTAGCACTTCCTATGGGTTCCGTGGTGTTATTTAAGATTTATGGGCCGGGCACGGTGGCTCACACCTGTAATCCCAGCACTTTGGGAGGCCGAGGTGGGCAGATCACGAGGTCAGGAGTTCGAGACTAGCCTGACCAACATGGTGAACCCCTGTCTTTACTAAAAATACAAAAAATTAGTTGGGTGTGGTGGTGTGCACCTGTAATCCCAGCTACTCAGGAGGCAGAGGCAGAGAATCGCTTGAACTTGGGAGGTGGGAGCCGAGATCGTGCCTATGCCAGCCTGAGAGACAGAGTGAGACTCTGTTTCTGGAAAAAAAAAAAGATTTATGGTATTGTACACACTGAAAACACACAAAACTGAGCGAGCACATTTAACTGTGCTCTGCAGTGTTCTAGGAGACAAGCAGCTCCCGTGGAAATGATTAGTGTTATGTGGTGTTTTAAGCAGATACAATATTGAGCTCACTGCAATAGCAATAAGAGGTGTCTGTGAAATCATGACATTAGTACAGTGTGTACTACAGTGGATTTTACACAGATAGGATTTAATTTGTTTACATTTCTCTTGACTACAAATGGCACCATGTATGATCTGTATTTGTGGGTACATTTTTATAAATGTTAACTTTCTATAGATTTGTGTGTATTTTATGGTAGTAATGATAAAATAGACTAGTACCTACGTATATTTTATGCATTCACAACATACCTTTTTTCTTAATTTTTTCAGTATTTCTAGGTTACACAATTTGTGTTTTCAAATTGTCTCAAATCTCCAAAAAAAGTTCTAAAATATTAAATATTTATTGGAAAGAAAATCTACACGAGTGGATCTGTGCAGCTCAAACTCATGTTGTTCAAGGGTCAATAGTCATGAAACATCTTTTTTTTTTTTTTTTTGAGATGGAGTCTCACTCTGTTGCCCAGGCTGGAGTGCAGTTTCGTGATCTTGGCTCACTGCAGCCTCTGCCTCCTGGGTTCAAGCAGTTCTCCGGGCTCAGTCTCCTGAGCTGGGATTGCAGGCGCCCACCACCACACTCAGCTAATTTTTGTATTTTTTGGTAGAGACGGGGTTTCACCATCTTGGCCGGACTGGTCTTGACCTCACGATCCACCTGCCTTGGCCTCCCAAAGTGCTGGGATTACAGGTGTGAGCCACCGCACCTGGCTAAACATCTTTTTAAGACTAATTGAACTAAATTCTGTCAAAGATACAGATATGAATAAGACCCTTTTGCTGGCTCTTTTCCTGGGGAGTGTACATCTGGTTGGTGATTTCGTGGTAAATCTTGCTTTCATTGTTTTATCATATTTTCACCTTCCTTTCAGGAACTCCTTTGTACTCTTTCCGTATCTTGTGATTTGTGGGAAAGGATTTGAGAGTATATTATTTAAACCCACTCTCTTAACCCCCACCCCAAGTTCCAAAGGAAATGAACAGGCATCAAATCACTTTTGAGGGGGCTTGAGAACCCCTTTTCTAGGGTAGTACTTCTACATTTCAGAATGCAGTATAGAGCCAGGAGTTGTTGGGATCTGAAGAGAGACGTCATTCTTGTACCTCTCAGTTTTTCACAGCTTCAGCTCTTACTTTAAAATGGTTGGAATTTCTAAGGTACCACATACACGGTATTTGACATAACTGTAAAACTGCGTATCTGAGCTAAGCGATTGTTAGTTAGTGTTCCGTTTTGACTGGTCCAAGCCTTTGAAGCTGTCCCCTCCTGCTCTGCTGCTGGGGTGTCTGAGGCAGCTGATTTTCTTCCTTTTAGATGCTACATTCTAGTTTTCATTTGCCCATTTCCCATTTCAGCTTTTGAGTTTTAATTCTACTAGAGGAAACACCAGGATTCTTGAGTCTTTATTCTGCTTAAGCCTTTATACCTCTCCAAAGAAATGATGTTTTTCTTTGCTTTCTTGGGGTCTTCCCCTTTTACTTAGATAAGTCTTTCAAGGGGTTTGCTGTTTCCCCATACTTTTTTTGAGAGGAGAAAGATTGTAAATTGGGAAGCTCACAGAAGCAAGAGGACAGTGTTTCTCAGAATTCTGGGTTGACCCTCCCCTCCCCCTTCTTCCTTGCCACAGGCCAAGGAGCGGGAGCTGGAACTGAAGAACACCTGGTCAGAGAACAAGCTCAGCCGCCGTCAGACCCAAGCCAAATACGGATTCTAGGGCTCTGGAACTGATTGCTCCCAGGATCTCCTTCCTGCCGGCCCAGCTGGCCTGGCCCCCAGCTTCACCTCTGGGACCCCAGCTGCTCTAAGCCTAGGATCTCTTTCCCCAAGGACCCAGCCCTCGCCTCTGCGAGAATGAACATATTTGATAGATTTTTCTTAACAAGTTAGAAACTTCAGCTCCTTTCTGTCCTGGAGCTAGCAAAGACTTGTGTGACACCTCCGAAGGGGCTGAGTTCTGGGACGGGAGTTTTGCTCCCTGTCAGGTGTGATGAGATGTTGAACCCTCCCCACCACCACCACTTTTTTTTTTGTTTAAACCAGGGATGTCTGTTGAAATAAAACATTCAGTCTGACAGACGTTGCCTGCCCTGTCCCTGGATTAGTATTTACCTTGTGTAAAGCACCTTCCAAACCGTCTTGAGCTGCCTCATCACTTTGCTTTTTTTCCTCTATCCACCATCTAACATGAGTTTGTGGCCATTGAAGACCCTAGAATTGTGTGCACAACTTCATATGAGGCGGGATGATTTTCAGAGGGGTCTGTGATCCCAAATGTGTATTGCTGATCTCAGATACCTCTGGAGACTGGATGAAGTCAAGAGGTTCTTTCTTTAGCACGAAATAGTTGTCAGACATAGAAGTCCTATCCAGCAGTAGGTCAAGTGGCAAAATCCCTGTCCCTGAAGGTGATTCAGATTGACACTGGTAGTCATTGGTCTGGATTGGTCTGAAAGTTTCACATGGAACTTGGGCACTAGAGAGATGTCCCTTGAGACTTCCAGAGCCCTAGCTTTTTTTGAAGACAGGAGGTACAGGGTCTGTAGACTCTCCAGTTATCTGTAAGGCACTGTGATGCCCAGAAGTGACAAGACAGATGGCATGATTCCAAAATGATGTGCAAATCATACTGCAAGCCACCACTGAACAATACGGCTAAGGGTACCGGGATTCCAGTAGGGCTCAGCTGCTGCGGTTTGTTGAGGAAACTCCTATAAGAGAGCCTGGGAAGCCTTGGATGTCAGGTAGAGGAGCTGTTGACCAGAAATAGACGCTCGAGTGTACTGTTGCAGGAAAACATTGGGAAGAATTAGTGTTTGGAATTCTTGGTGACAGAGAGGGGAGGCTAAGACCACAGGGGCCATTTGAGGTATGTAGTGGGGATCTGGGGATGGGAAGGAAGAGACAGAAGTTAGGAACCTCACCAAGCTTCTGGTTTTGTATGCTGGGGTAAGTTGAGGAGTCTGTTTCTCATTAAGTACAGAGAGGGTTTCATCACTTACAGGAAAACCACCCGCTTATCTGAAATCTGACCTACTTCGGGTTGGAGCCAGACAGGGCTCCTGCATCCCACAGGGACACTCAGGCTGTAGTTGTCCAAATCCGTGCATCCAGTCAAGCCTTCAGCAAGGAGCTTCAGCCCCATTATGCTCCCAGCGGTAACAGGCATTGGGGGTCAGGGGGGCTGAGATCCTGTCCCTCTGGGATGTCGCAGCTGGTGAGGTGGGTTCAGCAGGGCCTAAAATCTCAAGTTCCAATGAGTCCAGTGCTTCCTTTCTTATATCCAGTATGCTTTAGATGCCGCCCTGCCCCTGTGAGTTGCCACACTCCTGGGATTCAAATTTTAGGGGCTGTGCCATGATGTAGCTGGAAGTGCTGTGGGCTGAGAGGCAGAAGATGGTGAGAGGGAGAGTCCCAGGGTCTTCTGGAAATGGACAGAATTGGGCTCAATACCTCTAAGGGTCCTCTTGCCTCCCACTTCCTTCAGTTCACTCAAGTAGTCTTAAGCCACATTTTGTTTAAAAGCCACTTTTTAGTCCTACCAAAGATGGCATTTTATTTGGTGGTTGGAATCTCCTGGTCACTGAGAAATAACTAACAGAAAATGGATAGCCTTCATTTGGGAGGGCTTCCTGGAGGTGGTAGCCTCAAGTTCTGTCCAAGAAGCCCAATGTATCAAGGAGTAGTTGAAGTTCAGTGGTGCCGGGGGAAGTGGCAAGGATGCTGGAATGCTGGAACGCGCTGGAACGCTCTGGGCTGCGTGTTCCCGTCTGCCTCTTATTACCCCTTTCCCTCTAGGTTCAGCTTTCTTTCTTTTTTTTTTACTGTCTTGATCGAGTTATAACAGCTTTTTTTTTTTATTTTTGAGTTGGAGTTTTGCTCTTGTTGCCCAGGCTGGAGTGCAGTGGTGTGATCTCAGCTTACTGCAACCTCAGCCTTCCGGGTTCAAGCCGTTCTCCTGCCTCAGCCTTCCAAGTAGCTGGGATTACAGGCCCCTGCCACCACGCCTGGCTAATTTTTTTGTATTTTTAGTAGAGACAGGGTTTAGTGATGTTGGCCAGGCTGGTCTCAAATTCCTGACCTCAGGTGATCCGCCTACCTCGGCCTCCCAAAGTGTTGGGATTACAGGCATGAGCCACCATGACCTTCCTAGGTTCAGGTGAGGACTCAGTGATGACCAGCCCCTGCCCCTCCCTGAGTGGGTTCATGGGGTGTGATGTTAGCTCTTTAGTCCCCCTGAGAAGCCCCTGAGCCAGAATTACAGATCTTACTGAGACTGTGCTGCATTAGTTGAGGGAGCGGATAGGATGAAAGGGGCAGCTCAGGGGAGGCTGGAGCAGGAAAGAGCCATCAGGGTAAGGCATGGTGCTGAAGGGGATGGGGCTGGAGGGCAGAGCTGGACCCTGTAGTGTGCACAGTGCCCTCTGCTCACAGCAAGGTCTTCCATGTACTGTGACAGGGTGAGAGGCTGTCCTTTCACAGATCTGGGAATGGGCTCAGCCAGAGAGACTCTGCCTGAAGGAGGTAGGAGGAAGGATGGCATGACCACAGGAAGACTGAGGTGGTTAAGAAATGCCCTCCCCCTCCTGGCATGTGGAGTCTGGCTCAGCATAATTGCCCCAGTTCCCTTTTCCTGTATGGTTACTCAACTTCTCCCTCCTGAGGTCTCACCGCAGCCCCAGGCCTCAGCTTGGAGGAAAGTGAACAGGATGGTGCAGTGGTGCAGGGTGCCCCTCATGAGGGGAAGGAAGGTTCTGTCACCTTGGTCTTTGGGGCTGGGCCTGCAGCTGTGGCCCTCAGCAGGACTGGGACCTTATCCTTTGGCCTAGGAGGGGCCCCATGGTATTCGGAGGAACACAGGGTTGGGATGACAAGATCTGGCCTGGGCCTGACTGTATCTAGCTCCCTGTCACCTCCCCTCTCTAAAGCTGTTTCCTCTTTAGTTGAGCCAAAAACTCTGTCATCAAGGGTCTCTGAAGTCCCTTCTAGCCCCAGCAGTACTGCTTTTCAAAGCCCTTTACTTGCATGGTCTCATGTGTGTGCCATGAAACCCTGTGTGCAAATGAGGTAAATCTCCTTTACATAAGGAATGGAGGGAGCAGTGGATCTGAAAAAGGACTCCCTGCCGAAGGTCACACCACGAGTCCACACCAGACCCAGGGTTTTGGTGCCATAGCTTCATCTGAGTTCCAGTATTCCTTTGGTATGTGTCCACCCATGTTCTGTGGAGCTGCAGAAGGAAGGAGAGGGTCCCTAGGTCCTGCCCTGCCCCTGGCTTTGCTCCTGCCCCTGTTCTGCCCCAGGCTTTCTCCTCCAGAAACACCAAGTGGGTCACTAGGCATTTTCTGGCCCCCTCCCCACACCTGCCCATTCTGTTACACCCCTAAGTCTGAGGAAATCTCTTCTCTGACTTTCTGATTTCTGTCTCTTGCTGTGCGATAAATATGCCACTCTTTTCTGCCTCCTCCCCTGCCCCAAGGAATCAGCCAGGAGATAACTGGCTCCCTGTGTCTAATCTGAGACCTTTCTGGCACTTTTCAGCCTCCTCCCCGATTTCAGGAAAGCCATCTGCTCCTCCCTCCCTGCCCCTCTGCCTCCCTCCCCACCTCTCCTCTTGCTTAGGAGGGTGTTGAGATCTGAGTTCTAAACAAAGGGAAGTGGAACCCCAACTCTGTTGGCTCAGCACCTTAAGCTGATAGCACTGGAATGGAGAGGAGGGGAATTGGCCAGTCACTGGAGCTGGCATCTGGGCCAGGCTGGGAGTGGTGTGGCAGTGGCAATGCCCAGGCCTAGGGACTGTGGCTTAAGGAAAGGGTCTGGAAGATTCTTGTGTCTCAGGTCGTTACAGGGCCCCTGACCAGATAATTGCCAGGACTAGACTCTTGTAGGAATGAATGTGAAAAGAAAAGCCTGCACAGATGGGACCACAGGAGTCCCCAGGCCTGGGCAGCTCTGGAGGGTTTCATCTCAGCTCTGAGCCCTGAGGACACTCCAGGGGCAGACACAGCCCTGCCTTAGAAAGCCCCCTGTCTTGCTGGGTGTGGTGGCTCACAGTTGTAATCTCAGCACTTGGGGAGGCTGCCATGGGAATATATAACTTGAGACCAGGAGTTTGAGACCAGCTCTGGCAACGTAGTGAGACCCTGTCTCTACAATTTTTTTTCCCTGAGATGGAGTCTTGTTCTGTTACCCAGGCTGGAATACAATGGTACGATCTTGGCTCACTGCAACCTCCGCTTCCTGAGTTCAAGTAATTCTCCTGTCTCAGCCTCCTGAGTAGCTAGGATTACAGGCATGTACCGCCATGCCTGGCTGATTTTTGTGTTTTTAGTAGAGATGGGGTTTCACCATCGTGGCCAGGCTGGTTTCGAACTCCTGACCTCAGGTGATCCTCCTCCCAAAGTGCTGGGATTACAGGCATGAGCCACCGTGCCCAGCTAAAAAAGTTTGTTTTTAAATTAGCCGGGCATGGTGGTGCACACCTATAGTCCCAGCAACTTGGGAGGCTAAAACAGGAGGATCCCTGAGCCCAGGAGTTCAAGGCTGCAGTGATCTATGATTGTGCCACTACACTCCAGCCTGGGTGACAGAGCAAGACCCTGTCTAAAAAAAAAAAAAAAGTCCCCAGTCTGAGACAAAAGTACGACCTAGGGCACACGCCAGAGCCCCAGAGTGTAGAGCTTTGCACGAGGACAGGAGGCTGGGTCTGGGCAGAGAATGGGGAAGGAAGAGGGATAGGGGAGAGAATGGGGTCCTAATTGAGGCAAAGGGCCTAAGCCCAAGAGGCTAGATGAGAGTTCTAGAGCCAGTTCCAAGGGGATTCCTGTCCTCTGAGGGCTCACACACACATCTTCCTTCTCCCAGTCCTGTACATAGCAGAGAGGGTTGCAGAGGAGGTGAAGGGCCTGTCTCTCAACTGCTCACCTCTCTGCCCCTCTTTCTTTATGTCTTACGTGGTGCAGCCACCCTTTGTCCCTGGCTGCCTACTCAACCATCCCAGCCAGAGAAGGAATACTTTGCAGAGGTCTGTGTCCCTGGCCTTGGTGTCTGTCAGCCCTCAAGCCCCTCCACCTTCACTGCAATGGCAGTTCAACCACATGCTTTCCACAGTATGAGAGAGAGAAAGTCAGAGACAGAGACAGAAGGAGCCTGGAGGACTTGAATCCCTGTAGGGGGAGGCAGTTGGTGATGATTTATTAGCCAGACAAGAATCAACAAACAAGTTCTAACATCTGTTCTCACCAAACCATTCCTCAGACAACAGCAGCATTGGACCAGGGCCCAGACCCAAAGGCTCAGAGGGCCAAGGAAATTAGACTCCAGGAGGAGAAGCCAGGACAGTGGGAGCCAGCAGGGCCCTCCTCGCACACTTCCAGAGGATCACCAAGCACTGAGCCACTGGATTCTTGGGATCTCAGGAGGGAGCAGACTCCACATTTGCTTCTCCGACCTCCAGGCTTCTTTGGTGGGGGTCAGGCCAGACCTGTCAGGGGGACAGAGTTTTTTTTTTTTTTTTTTTTGAGACCGAGTTTTGCTCTTGTTACCCAGGCTGGAGTGCAATGGTGGGATCTCGGCTCACCGCAACCTCCGCCTCCTGGGTTCAAGCAATTCTCCTGCCTCAGCCTCCTGAGTAGCTGGAATTACAGGCATGCGCCACCATGCCCAGCTAATTTTTTGTATTTCTAGTAGAGATGGGGTTTCACCATGTTGACCAGGGGTTTCACCATGTTGACCAGGATGGTCTCGATCTGTTGACCTCGTGATCCACCCACCTCGGCCTCCCAAAGTGCTGGGATTACAGGTGTGAGACATCGCGCCTGGCCCAGGGGGACAGAATTAAGCTGGGATCCAGAGGAGGGGACCCAGCACCCAGGCCTCCGTGTAGCAGAACTCTGGAAAGCGGCCAGACTTCCTATTTGAGAAAATCTCTGATGTTTCCTGTGGACTGGAGTTTGTGGATATGTGGTAAGGAGCAGAGCACTCAACAGGGAATCAGGAAGCCTGGATTCCAGTCCTTGACCTCAGAGGCTGAGTCACTGTCCCTCTCGGGCTATGTTTCTTTTCTGCACAGTGAGGGGGTTGGACTTGATCAGTGAGGGCAAATGTAATGCTGCTCATCCTCCCGCCCCTACCCGTGGCAGACATCACTAATCAATCATGTGCTTTTTTCTGCTGAGTTCAGATATGACCTTAACATCCTTTCCAATGCAGCACTCTAGGCAGCCACGACCAATGGATTGGAGTTGGCATGCAAGATGACACCTCTTTGCCATCCTTGCAATAGATGATGGCTGAGGTCCTTTCCAGCTTTGATCACCTATGCTTTGTTCCATCCACATTTCCTGAGAAGGGTGCCAGGTGTGTGTGAAGGTCTATGGACCTGATACTCCCAAGTTATCCTCCCCAAGCTGACTTACCGCCTACTGAGGAGGCCCGAGAGGGAGCCATGCCTGTCCTCTGTCCTGAAGCACCTGTCTAGAAAGATTGTAGGGGAGGGTGTGTCTCCAGGCGAGTGGGGGCTGGTGAGGCAGGGGAGGGCCTTGCCCAATCGCAGAGATCTCAGAACGCAGCTGGGAGCCACCTGTATTCTGCAGAGAAAAGGACAGACAGTCCAAGGTCACACCCTCTACCCTCTGCCTCCTAGGTGTACCTACAGTCTCAACACATAACAGACTTTGGCTTCCAGAGAGGATGTCTAAACTCCTCTCATTCATTCAACAAACGTCTCCTGAGCACATGCTCTGTGCCAGGCTCTGGGCTGGGTGCTTTGGAAACAGATGAGTAAGTCTCAGCTCCTGACTTCAGGGAGCTCACACTCTAAGCTGGGGAAGGGACAGAGAGAAGGAGATGGGAAGAGATGGGTGTGTCAGGTGATCAGAGGCATGGCAGGTGTCTGTAAAGCACAGGGGTTGGCCTCTGTGGCCTCTGAGAAGGGAAAGCTGGTCCTGAAGCTTTGATGATTAGAAAGTTGCCAGGCAACAAGAGGATGAGCTTGCAGGAAGTTGTTACAGGAAGAGATACTGGTGGTTGCAAATCCCAGGAGGCTTGAAACTACTTGGTGAGTTTAGAGAGATGTGAATCGTTCTAGGAGAATGAGAGCAGCTGGTGGTAAGGCTTTGGAGGTGGGATCCCCTCATCCAAGTCCAGAGTGCATCATGGGCCAGGCAGCTGCTTCAGCAAGACCATCCTAGCTTCTCTGATGCAGAATTAATCAGAAGTGGCAAGAATAGTGGTTAGGAAACTAGTGAAGAAGCTTTTTCTTGGGGCCAGGTTCAGTGGCTCACGCCTGTAATCCTAGCACTTTGGGAGACCGAGGTGGGTGGATCATGAGGTCAGGAGTTCAAGACCAGTCTGGCCAATATGGTGAAACTCTGTCTCTCTAAAAATACAAAAATTAGCTGAGCATGGTGGTGGGCATACACAGAAGGAGCCACTTGGAAGGCTGAGGCACTTGAACCTGGGAGGCGGAGGTTGCAGTGAGCGGAGGTTGCACCACCGCACTCCAGCCTGAGTGACAAAGCAAGACTCCATAAAAAAAAGAAGCTCTTGGGAGCCGGGTGAGGTGGCTCGAGCCTGTGAATCTCAGGTGAGGTGGTAGGATCACTTGCACCCAGGAGTTTAAGTTTGCAGTGAGCTCTGATTGTGCCACTGCACTCCAGCCTGGGTGACAAAGCCAGACCCCAATGATGGGGGCTGGAACTGAGGAAAGGAAAAATATACTTAGGAAGAGATCCAGCAGGAACCAGTGGCTTCTGTGGGGAGCTAAGAGGGAGCAGTGCTGAGGGAGCCCTGGGATTCTGGCTTGGATAGCTGGGTGGCTGGGAGTTATCAGTCAGGATAGGGAACATGGGAAGGAGCTGTTGGCAGGGCAAGGGTGAGAGCAGTGTTGGCTGTGTTGAGTCTGAGGGATCGTGGGACGCTGGGGGACCTGACCAGAAGCTTGGAGAGAAGTTTGGATGGAGACATGGACAGGGACGTCAGCTCTAGGACAGCAGGTGTCGGCAGGGGTGTGGGTGAGCGCCAGCAGGCTCATGCTGAGGGGGAGCCTGGGAAAGGTCTGAGGAGGGAGGCTGGGGAAGGGCTTCGGGAGAGCCGCAGAGGCTGAGGAAGAGGGTGGGATGGCTGCTGGGGCTAATCCATGCCATGAGATACTGACTTGAAGGGTAGGCAAGAAGACTTAGGGGTGGGGAGAAGGAAGAGGGAGATGGGGAGTACACAGAAGGAGGCTGGGAGAGCAGAGTCCCCCTCCCGGGAGCTCACTGAGATGATATAAGGGACCCCAAGTGCTCTTTTCCTCCAGGACAACAGGACCATGAAGGCCACGGGAGAGAGCCAGAGAGGCATGGGGTGGGGTCAGCCCCAGGTGCGTCTGAAGAGGGCCTGCAGGACAAGATGGGTGCAGATCAAAAAAGTCTCAATGCGGGGGGCTGAGGGGAATCCTGCCCGGGGGCCTCTGTTTTCTCTGTGAGGCAGGAGGACATGGGGGCTTGACAAAGATGAGGTCTGAGTGACTCTGGGGAGAAGACGGGGGAGTCTCTGGGCCTGGAGAAAGGAGGCTGGCACCTGATCATTCTGTCCTTCCCACATCACCTCACACCTCTGTTCTTCACCCTGACCTGGGCATCCACTCCCAACACCTTCTTTCCCTTCTCCGATCTACCTGCAGGGAGACCTTCTTGCACCCACCTTTCCTGGCACACCCATTACCTGGCCTCCTGGGACAGGCCTGGACCGACTTTTCCGTAGGACAGGGTGCCCAAGGGTGGCGGGCAGGCCCTCATCTTCCACCTCCACATAGATGTTGCTGGGGGCTTCCCCCGGGCTGCCCCGGCCCATGGCGTAGAAGGCTATCGGTTCATCAGGCTCGTTGTAGATAGGGTTGGGGGGCCTGGGGGGTGAGGCCAGGCAGCGGCGTGGAGCAGGGCTTGTGTAGAGTTCTGCGGGCAGCTGAGGTTTGGCGGGGATGGGAGGCTTGGGCCTGAGTGGGTGGGAGGGCTAGGAGAGGTAAGGCCAGGGAAGAGTGGAGCGAGGGAGGCAGGGTTAACACCCCAGCAGGATTAAAGCCCTAGCCTAACTCTCAGCTGAGCCTCTGCCCTGCTAAGCCCCTCCTCCTCCCTGCTGCCTGCACCCCCCCCCCCCCCCCCGCAGGCCTCTCCTCCCCTTTCCTCAGCCCCTTCAGCCCAATACCTCTTTCTCCCCAACCCCCTCTTTCTGCATCAGGATTGGGGCCTGCCCCTGCTTGATGATCGGGCTGTACTGGGGGTTTGGGTCCTGGCTTTTGCTTCCAGTGTCTGATTCTTTGGTCCTCAGGGAAAGTCCTGAAGGCTCAGGAGTCTGCTGGGAAAGAAGGAGGTCTGAGGGACTTGGGGGGAGACATTGGGGAGGAGGAGGTGATCAGGAGAACAAAATCATCAGGTCTAAGTGGAGGATAGGGGTGGGATGGGCACAGAAATTTGGCCTGGGCTGAGTTTTCTGGATGAGGAATTGGGGATGGAGATGGCGAGGAGACCCTGGTGTGGGTGGAGGCAGTTTGGTCTGGTCACAGGCCATATCTAGCGTTAAACTTGTTCTTTTTTAAGATAGAGTCTTACTCCGTTGTCCAGGCTGAAGTGCAGTCTCAGCTCACTGCAGCCTTGACCTCCTGGGCTCAAGCCATCCTCTCGCCTCAGCCTCCCAAATAGCAGGGACTACAGATACGTGCTGCCACACCAGCTAATTGTGTTTTCATTTTTTTTTTTTTTTGAGACGGAGTTTCGCTCTTGTTACCCAGGCTGGAGTGCAATGGTGCGATCTCGGTTCACCGCAACCTCCGCCTCCTAGGTTCAGGCAATTCTCCTGCCTCAGCCTCCTGAGTAGCTGGGACTACAGGCACGCACCACCACGCCCAGCTAATTTTTTTGTATTTTTAGTAGAGACGGGGTTTCACCATGTTGACCAGGATGGTCTTGATCTCTTGACCTCGTGATCCACCTGCTTTGGCCTCCCAAAGTGCTGGGATTACAGGCTTGAGCCACCGCGCCCGGCCTGTGTTTTCATTTTTTATAGCAATGAGGTCTCATTATGCTGCCCAGGCTTGGTCTTGAACTCCTGGGCTCAAGTGACCCTCCCACCTCAGCCTTCCATTGTTGCAGGATTACAGGGGTGAGCCACCACACTTGGCTGCATTAAACTTAATTGCATCTGGAACGCAGGGCCAGGCCAGATTCCATTTGTGCCTGTGGTTGTGAAAATGCAACATGGCTTCACATGTCTTTTTTTTTTTTTCTTTTTCCTAGCTATCCTTTACACTGTAGGCCTTACACGTCTTTAGCTGAAAAGTTATTGGCATGGGGACCAATCTCTATGACAGCTGTGCTTGTGTTTATTTATGCATGCTGGTTAATTTATGGAGTTATAAATGATTTTCTTTTTTTTGAGACCAAGTCTCACTCTGTCGTCTAGGCTGGAGTGCAGTGTCGAGATCTCGGCTCACTGCAACCTCTGCCTCCCAGGTCCAAGCAATTCTTCTGCCTCAGCCTCCCAAGTAGCTGGGATTACAGGGGCCTGCCTCCACACCCGGCTAATTTTTGTATTTTTCAGTAGAGACAGGCTTTCTCCATGTTGGTTAGGCTGGTCTTGAATTCCCGACCTCAGGTGATCCACCTGCCTCAGCCTCCCAAAGTGCTGGGATTACAGGCATGAGCCACCACCAGGCCATAAGCTAAAATTTTTAAGGGCAGAGACCACCTCAGGAGAGAGGATCCCCATGTGGGATGGTTCTGTCTCACAGAGGGTGTGCTTTTAGCTCAGCGTCCGTTAGCCCTTGGTCCATGAATGCTGTGCCCATACCCACTGCCACTCTAGGCTAAGGTCACAGGGCTTTTCTCGTGCTCCTGCTATCCACCAAGTGCACTTCTCCATCGGGAGGTGTACTGCAGGTATACTGTGGAATCCAAAGAATTATTTTCCCTGCCCTAACCCCCTCCTCTCTCAGTATGTCCTTCCTGAATAAAGAGTGACATCTCCACCCTGCTGCCAAAATAGCATCTTAGGAGTCAGCCTTGAGGCCTCCACCTCCCTCCCGACATGAAATCATACACAAGTCCTGCTCCTTCCACTGTCTGCTGTTCACATCTGTGTACTTTTCTCCACGCACATGGCCAGCACCCTAGTTCAGGCTCCTGACTCCTTTCCCTGCATCGTCTTGTCCTTCCAACCCACTCAGTTTTGTTCCTTGCCGTTTTCCCAGTGCCCAGAATGGCTCCTCAGCACTGCCTGGACTCGTGCACCACTGCCTGCTAGGCTAAATGGTACCCTGGGTTTCCTCTTGAATCACACTCTCTACACTGGAATTCTATTACTTGTCCGTTTTTGCTGCTGGAAAGTAAGCTTTGTGAGTTTGAGACCCACCTGTCTGTCTTGTTCATGGGTCTATTCTCAGGGCCTGCCAGCACTTGGTAGGGCCTAAGTACTCTGTAAATATCTCTTACATTAAAAAAACAAATGACTAGGCTGGGCGCTGTGGCTCACGCCTGTAATCCCAGCTACTCTGGAGGCTGAGGCAGGAGAATCACTTGAACCCGGGAGGCGGAGGTTGCAGGGAGCAGCGATCATGGCACTGCACTCCAGCCTGCGCAACAGAGAGAGAACAAAACATACACAAAACCCCAAATGACCGTGTGTGCCCCTGCTCTCTCCTTGCCCCTCTGTCTCCGTGTGGCTGGGCTGGCCTCTCAAGGACGTCCCCGCCCCCCACCAGCATTCATGTTTCTCGAAGGGCCTCCCACGAAGATGAAGGTGCCCGCGTAAGTGAGGCATGGCCGGTGGTGTTTCAGCATGAGAAAGTGCCTGGTGCCGCGTCCTGCGCCTGGGCTCTGGGTGGGAGGGGCGCTGGCCTGAGACCCTGGGCTCTCGGGTCAGGGTCTGGGGCGCGTACCTGGCGGGCAAGGGGCTCGGTGAGCGTCTCCCCGTAGGGGCTGAGCGGGTGCGCCGTGTAGTGCCGCAGCAGGTCCTGCAGCCGCGCGTGGGCGCTGTCCTCGCCCAGCACCACGTGGCGCCCGTCCCGGAGCTGGGCCAGCAGGAAGTGGCGGCAGCAAGTCCGGCTCCTGGAGGGCGCCGTTAGGGATCAGACTGTCTCCCTCTCCTCTGCCACGGCCACTAGCGCGAGGCGTGACCCCACCTCAGCAGCCCGGGGACTGAGCTGAGAGCCCGGCTCCTCCCGGGATCAGCCCCAAGCCCCGCCCCTCCGACAAGCCGGAGCCCCGCTGGGTGACCTCGCCCCTCACCTGTAAGTCAGCACGAAGGTCACCGCGCTCTCGCTAAACCGCACCAAGTAACATCCCTGAGCCTTGGGTTCCAGCAGCCTCTCTGACTCCCTGTGGGTGACAGAGAGAGGGGGCCGAACCCTGCTCTGACACTTCCAGCCTCGCCTCTGTCTCCCCAGCTCTCACGAGGAACCCCTACCCGCAAGCGAGCATGCTGGGGTGGCTAGAGGAGGACTAGGATTGAGATGGGGAGAGAGAACATGTGGGCGCTGCTCTTCCGCTGCAGGGACTGGGTGTGGACAGGGGCCAGGGGTCCCATTCAGGCGACCCCCGCATCCTCCTCTAGCCTCATCCTGGAAGGGCAGCCTGCAGGGGCTGCTACTGCAGCAACAGGGATGGGATAGTAGTCGGACTTCCAGATTTCAGAAGTCAAAGCTGAACTGAGGAGAGTGAACAAAGAGATAGGAGAGAAATGAGGCTGAGAAATGCAGGAGGGAGGATCTGCAAGGGTAGAAGAAGAGAGGCCTGGGAGGTAAAGATGGAGTAAGTCTGGAGGGAGAGAGAGCTGGAAAATACCAGCATTCGAGGCCTTAGGGACAGGAGGATAATGGAGCCTAGAGAGGGGAAACTGAGGCACAGAGCGGGCTGGATTGGAGCCTCTCCAATGATCTCCCCTGGAGAAATGCCTCCGTGAAAGGCCTGGGAAACTCTGGGAGTGGCAGCCTGCAGTGGGTGCCTCCATCTACTCCACACTAGTGGGAGTGGGAGCCTTCATCTATTCGTGGCGAGTGGCAGGACCCAGACCCCAGACTTGCCCTGCTCCTGTCTGGGCTGATTTCCTCCTCGGTGACTCACCTCCGGGTGATGAAGCCATGGAACCAGGCAGGGGCTGCCCCATGCTGCAGGAGCCAGTGGGCCTGGGTCTTCTGGAACCAAGCCCTGATCTCGGCCTGCAGGGACAGGCTTCCTTTCCCAGGCACCTCCTCTGCCCTCTCAGCATTCTCTGGGATGGAGGCAGCCTCTGGGGCCTGGGGAGATGCCTGGATTGGGGGAGAGTTCAAGGAGAGGGAAGCAGCACGATGTGCAGGCTTTCTCCTGATTTTGAGCCACGTGCCACCTTCTCTTCCTCATATCCAGGCTTTCCTGCCTATTTTAGGGTATAATTGCCCAGAAAGCCCTTCCTAAAGTCTAACATAAAACCCTTTGTCAGCTCCAGCTGTTGTGGCTTCCAGAGATTCTCCTCTGCCATCTGGGTCTTGAGGGCTTTTAATCCAGCAGCAGTGAGCTGTCATGCTGGGCTCTAGGAGGGGTGGGAAAGGCAGCATGGCCTTCCAGATGGACAGAGCCATTCCTTGGCCTTGAGGATGAAGGGACATGATGCAAGAAGTCACCCAAGAGGCCAGAATAAGGGAGGGGCTTATTCCACAATATGAGGGACTGAGCTAATTCGAAGGGAAAGTTCTTGACGGGGTGGGATAGGAGGGCTGAGATGGGAATGTAGAATGCACTGGGCAAATGAAGGCCTCTGACACAGAGTGCCGATGGCTGCTTCTGGGACTCCATGCACTGAACCCTGGTCATCTGCGGACTCAGCCTGAGCTGCCGGAGGGCCTAGGAGCATCCAGGGGGTGAGTGGGAAACTCAGTGCATGAAGGAGGTACTCTCCATTTTCATTCTCTCCCTCTGTGCCCCAGGCTGTTGGCAGACCCCGATCATTCCTGCATTCTCTCGGGGTGGCCTTTGTCCATCTGCAAGTCCTTACCCATGGGAGGGTGGGAGAGAAGAGGGCCCTGCACCCCCCTGCTGCCCCAGGTTTCCGCTCACCGCAGTGTAGGCCAGGCGCTGGCAGCTCCTGCGAGTCATGTCCGTGGGCTGGAAGGTACCTAAGGTTGGGATGGGGACTTTGTGACTCACTGTGAGCGCAAAGAGGGCTGCCAGGGTTTCTCAGAGATGGACTGTGTCTATCTCAGCCTGACCACCAGTCCCCCAAGGCTCAGGGGACCTGGAGGGCTGGGACAGTCTTAAAGACAGGAAAACTGCAGGAGGGCAGCAGGGGAGTTTCTCAGGCACGAGGATAAGGAGCCAAGGTGGCATGGAGGTGGGGGTGGGGGGTGGGGGCTAATGCTGCTAGAGGAGGCTGTCAGGGACACTAGGTGCCTAGAAGGAAAGCCGGGGAACCAGGCTGGCCTTTGGATGGTCAGGGAGGCAGATCGCTTCAGGTCAGGCCCCTCTTCTGGTCCATGATATTTTGCCGCCTCCTGCCTTCATCCTCCTGCTCCCTCCTCTCTCCTCTCTGGGAAGCACTCAACAAACCCTGTCACCTTTATCCTCAGGGATGAGTGAGCATGGAGCCAGCCCCAGGCAGAGCTGTGGTGCTGAAGAGCCTTGCCAGCTCTGGCTTAGGGTGGGACCCCTCATCCCTGAAGTGGGAGTTCCAGCCCTGGAGACAGGGCAAGGGGGTGGGGGTCTTGGTGCCCCCTCCCACCCATATCCTCCAACTTCACACTTACCTCGGGGACATATCTGGGCCAGGGGGAGCTCCATGGGGGTCCCCCGACAAGGGACCCCAGAGCAGGGAGTGTATGTGTGTGCTCCGGAAAGGGGTGCACACTCAGCAACTCATCATCTCTCCCCAGGCCCTGGCCCTGGGGGCAGGAAATGTCGCCTTACCCACAGCCTTCGTTCTGGCAAAGGACCCACGTCATGGAAAGCCTTAAGACAATGGTCCCGCCCCCGGAAGCCGTGCAGCTGTAGATAGCGGTGGGGGGTATCTGTGTCACTCTGTGTTTAGGTGTTAGAAAGTCCTTACTGCTCTCTGACCTCCATCCCTCCAGATTCTTTCTCTGCTCCCTCACCTCAAACTAGAACTTCCCTTTCTCTCTCTCCCCTCCTTGCTCTTTCTCTCTCATCTCTCTTGGCTTATATTTCTTTCTCTCTGGAAAATCTCCCCCTCTGCCTCTTGGCCTGTTCTGCAGCAGGAATGGGGATGTTACTCTCAGGGATAAGTCACGCAAGGTGCTTACAGATTATGCTTTGAGGGGGCATGAGGAAGGGAGGGGGCAGGGTTGCAACATGAAGGACGTGGGTCAGACTTCTGGAAGGAGTTTCTGAGGACATATGAAATCTATGAGTCTGGGCATGGTGGCTCGCGCCCGTAATCCCAGTACTTTGGGAGGCTCAGCCGAGAGGATTGCTTGAGCCCAGGAGTGCATGCTCAGCCTGGGCAACATAGTGAGAACCCATCTCTATTTTTTAAAAATTAAAAAAGAAATCTGCTTACATCATTCAGCAGATAACGGAGCGGAGTTAGGTCAAAACCAGGCAATCGTGGAGGAAGGAAGGAGAATTCCTCCAACTCAGCAGCTCATCACTAGTATCAACGCTGATGTTGTTAATAACATCAGTGCTGGTGTCTTCTGTTTGTCTGTTTGAGACAGAATCTAGCTCTGTCGCTCAGGCTGGACTGCAATGGCACAATCTCAGCTCCCTGCAACTTCCGCCTTCCAGGTTCAAGGGATTCTTGTGCCTCAGTCTCCCGAGTAGCTGGGATCACAACTGGCTAATTTTTTTTTTTTTTGAGACGGAGTTTCGCTCTTGTTACCCAGGCTGGAGTGCAATGGCGTGATCTTGGCTCACCGCAAACTCCGCCTCCTGGGTTCAGGCAATTCTCCTGCCTCAGCCTCCTGAGTAGCTGGGATTACAGGCACGTGCCACCACCATGCCCAGCTGATTTTTTTGTATTTTTAGTACAGACAGGGTTTCACCATGTTGACCAGGATGGTCTCGATCTCTTGACCTCGTGATCTACCAGCCTCGGCTTCCCAAAGTGCTGGGATTACAGGCGTGAGCCACCGCGCCCGGCCAAGTTTTGTATTTTTAATAGAGAGGGGTTTCTGTGTTGGCCAGGTTGATCTTGAACTCCTGGCCTCAAGTGATCCACCCACCTCTGCTTACGGGCGTGAGCCACTGTGCTGGCCGGTGCTGATGTCAAACTTCAGTGTGCTTACACTTCCCGCCACACCAAAGGACTAATCCCATTTCTCTCTGGATTGATCCTCACAGACTAAGGGAACAGGAACATTGTCCCTATTTACCAGAAGGGTAAACTGAAGCTCGGAGAAGTGCCTTGGCCAGAGTTTTTCAGTGTCTGAGAAGTTGGCGTGAGTGCTGGGACTAGAAGCTAGACTTCCTTTCACTGATTTCACTGTGATTTAGGCCAGACGTTCATGACTATGTGCTGTGCGCTGTTCTTCGTACTGAGAACAAAAAGGAAAAACAACTTTGTCTCAAGATGTCAGGTGGGGGAGATGGACTTGCCAAGACATACTGTTTTTGAAAAAAATTATGTACTGTTCTCTTCCTTTTTAAAACATGTTCTATATTTTCAATAGTTTTTGAGGTACAGTTGGGTTTTGGTTACATGGATAAGTTATCTAGTGGTGATTTCTGAGATATTAATGCACCTGTCACCCAAGCAGTGTAACTGTCCCCCGTATGTAGCCTTTCATTCCTTGCTCCACCTCCCATCCTTCCCAAGTCCCCAGATTCCCTTGTAGCACGCTCAAGCCTTTGTGTCCTCATAGCTTAGCTCCCACTTAGAAATGAGTTTTCCATTCCTGAGTTACTCCACTTAGAATGATGCCCTCCAGCTCCATCCAAGTGATGCAAAAGACACGATTTCATTCCTTTCGATGGCTGAGTAGTACTCCATGGTGAATATATCCCGCATTTTCTTTATCCACTTGTTGGTTGATGGGCACTTAGGTTGGTTTCATATCTTTGCAATTGCAAATTGTGCTCCTATAAACATGCATGTGCATATGTCTTTTTTAATAGAATGATTTCTTTTCCTTTGGATAGACACCCACTAGTGTGATTGCTGGATATAATCATGTTTCTACTTTTTTTAAAAATAAAGGAATCTCCATACTCTTTTTCTTTTTCTTTTTTTAATTGCATTTTAGGTTTTGGGGTACATGTGAAGAACATGCAAGATAGTTGCATAGGTACACACGTGGCAGTGTGATTTGCTGCCTTCCTCCCCTTCACCTATATCTGGCATTTCTCCCCACGCTATCTCTTCCCAACTCCCCACTCCCTGCTGTCCCTCCCCTATTTCCCCCCAACAGACCCCAGTGTGTGATGATTCCCTCACTGTGTCCATGTGTTCTCATTGTTCATCACCCGCCTATGAGTGAGAACATGCGGTATTTCATTTTCTGTTCTTGTGTCAGTTTGCTGAGAATGATGTTCTCCAGGTTCATCCATGTCCCTACAAAGGACACGAACTCATCATTTTTGATGGCTGCATAATATTCCATGGTGTATATGTGCCACATTTCCCCAGTCCAGTCTATCATTGATGGGCATTTGGGTTGGTTCCAGGTCTTTGCTATTGTAAACAGTGCTGCAATGAACATTCGTGTGCATGAGTCCTTATAGTAGAACAAGTTGTAATCCTTTGGATATATACCCAGTAATGAGATTGCTGGGTCAAATTCCATACTGTTTTTCATAGTGGTTGTACAAATTTACATTCCTGCCAGTAATGTAAAACTGTTTTTCCCTTTTCACCTCATCTATGCCAACATCTGTGTGTGTGTGTGTGTGTGTGTGTGTGTGTGTGTGTGTGTGTGTATGTTTGAGAAGGAGCCTTACTCTGTCGCCCAGGCTGGAGTGCAGAGGCACGATCTCGACTCACTGCAACCTCTGCCTTCCAGGTTCAAGTGATTCTCCTGCCTCAGCCTCCCAAATAGCTGGGACTACAGGTGACTGACACCATGCCCAGTTAACGTTTGTATTTTTAGTAGAGACATGGTTTCACCATGTTGGCCAGGCTGGTCTCAAACTCCTGATCTCAGGTGATCCCCCTGCCTCAGCCTCCCAAAGTGCTGGAATCAGAGGCATAAGCCACCACAGCTGGCCACATCTATTGTATTTTGACATTTTAATTATGGCCATTCTTACGGAAGTAAGGTGGTGTTTCATTGTGGTTTTGATTTGCATTTCCCTGATGATTAGTGATATTGAGCATTTTGTCATATGTGTTTGGGCTGTTTTACACCTTTTTTTGAGAAACGTCTATTGATGTGCTTTGCTGACTTTTCCTTGATGGGATTGTTCCTTTCTTGCTGATTTGTTTGAATTCCTTGATTCTGGACACTAGTCTTTGTTTATCCTCTAGGAACTGATGCACAGTTTGAGAATGTTTTCTCCCACTCCATGGGCTGTCTGTTTACTCTGCTGATTCGTTTTTTTGCTATGCAGAAACTTTTTAGTTTACTCAGGTCCCATTGATTTGTTTTTGTTTTTGTAGCATTTGCTTTTGGGGTCTTAATCATGAATTCTTTGCTTAAGCCAATGTCCAGAAGAGTTTTTCCAATGTTATCTTCTGGAATTTTTATGGTTTCAGGCCTTAGATTTAAGTCTTTAATCTGTCTTGAGTTGATTTTTGTATAAGGTGAGACACGGGGAACCAATTTCGTTCTTCTACATGTGGCTTGCCAGTTACTCAACACCATTTATTGAACAAGGTGTCCTTCCCCAATTTATTTATTTGTTTATTTTTTAAGACAGGGTCTCACTCTGTCACCCAGGCTGGAATGCAGTGGCACAGTCTCAGCCCACTGCAGCCTCAACCTCCTGGGCTCAAGCGATCCTCCCACCTTAGCCTCCCAAGTAGCTGGGACTACAGGCATGCGCCACCGTACATGGCTAATTTTGTACTTTTTGTAGAGACGGAGTTTTGCCGTGTTGCCCAGGCATCTGCCTACTTTGGCTACCCAAAGTGCTGGGATTATTGGTGTGAGCCACTGCACCTAGCCCCCCTGATTTACGTTTTTGTGCTTCATCAAAGCCCAATTAGCTGTACATGTTTGACTTTATTTCTGGGTTCTCTATTCTATTCCACTGGTCTACGTGTCTATTTTTATACCAGTACCCCCACAAAGGGTTGTTCCCCAGATGGTGCCTTCCTGAGCCTTCAGCAGGCCACTCCATCATTCTATCATGCAGATTAATTATGGGTGATGGGGCAGGACCAGTTCACCCTGTGATCGAAAGCCTGTTGTGCGTCTTCGCTGTGAAATGGGTTCCTTGGTCTGAGGCACTGTGCTGTGGGACACCATGCGGAGAGAGCAGGCATTCTGTAGGCACATGGAGGCTGCTGCTGGAGTTTGTGTAATAATTCTGGTGAGGACGAATCACTGCTCCCTCAAAAGAGGAAGGGCTCTGATGTCATCAACCTGCCACCATATGGCTGGATGTTTTCTCTCCCCACTAAGGAATAGTACCAGGTATAGGGCTCAGTGTCAGTCTCTGCTACAAACAAATTGGGTGCTTAGCTGTAGCTCTGCACGTTAGTGAGAAGGTGGCCATGATCTTGAGCCCCTGAGAAGCCACCAAGTCCGCTATGTTGATCAGCCCATTGTGCCAGCACTGGGGGGCACAGGTGGCAGAAGGGAAAGGCTGGCTAACATCTACAGGATGAGTTATCCTGCCCAACGGATTGTTGACTGCCTCCCTGCTGACAGATGCTCTTTGGTGAGCATGAATGTGAGTCCCAAAGATCTACACCCTGTACCCACTTCCACAGCCCATCTGCCAGGGCTGGGACTGGATGAGGCAAGGAGGTTCCTAGGGAGGCACTCATCCTTAGATTGTGCAAAGGCTCCCTCGTCCCGGCCCTGCCATACCCTATGTTTTTCCCAGACCTTCTTTTCTCAGTCTTTCCATTTTATTTATTCCTTTCAGAGCCCTGTCCAACTGGCTAGGCCAGGTACCACTTCCCTGTAGTCAGCGTATATTCTCACCCTGGATTATCGCTCCCCATGTGCAAAATGAATGAACAGCTGTATGCTTGCAGCTCTGATCTCTGGTAGGATTTTCCTTTACCATTGCCCTTCAGGGAACCTCCTGAATGCAGCCACACTGCTGCTAGTGCCAACATATGATGCTGGCACATTTATCAGTTGGTTATGTGGACCCCCTGCCCACCCCTGCCCAGAGGTCGTACATGCGGATGGAAGCAGCAGTAGTACAATAGAGGCAGGTGATCTGGGGATGTGGGCCACCACTGCTCATGCAATTTACTTATGTGTTCTGAACCAGCTTGAGCCTGCTTCGAATGTATCCCTCCCATCGCATACTGGATTGCTGCCTTGCACGTCCACCCTTATGACCCATCATTCAGCTTAGGATGGCCATCTCAGGCTGAATGGTCACTTGGTGTCCACTGGTCAGGCACTTAGTCTCTGTGAGGGCCCAAGAGCAAACTGTAGCTGTTTTTCAGAGTGTGATTCTTTGTCAGAGATGACTTGGGAGGGTCGTTCTGGAACCCTAGGGCGTGTGCTGCAGTTCTCCCTCGGAGCTCACCAAAGACTCTATCCTTTATCCACCATGGTGATTCCAGCATCACTGGACATGCTGGGTCACGTAGCCCAGGAGGCAGAGCAGCTTGTGCCACAGCCTGAACTTTGGTAGGGACTTTTCCCCTTCCCCTTCCTTTTCCCCTTCCCTTTCCCCTTTCCCTTCCCCTCCCCTCCCCTTCCTGTTCTCTTTCTCCTCTTTCCTTTCCTTTCTTCCTCCCTCCATCCCCCCCCTCTTTCTTTCTTCTTCTTTTTTTTTAATCATTCCTGTTGCCCAGGTTGGAGTGCAATGGCACGATCTTGGCTCACTGCAACCTCCGCCTCCTGGGTTGATGTAGTTCTCCTGCCTCAGCCTCCTGAATAGCTGGAATTACAGGTATGCACTACCATGCCCAGCTAATTTTTATATTTTTAGTAGAGATGGGGGTTTTGCCATGTTGATCAAGCTGGTCTTGAAATCCTGACCTTGAGTGATCCTCCTGCCTCGGCCTCCCAAAGTGGTGGGATCACAGGCATGAACCACTGCACCCGGCCTAGTAGGGACTCTTTTTTTTTAACCCTGGGACTCACTTGAATCAGCTGCCTTCTGGGTCACCCAGTAACCGGGATGAACAAGATTCTCAAGTGCAGCATATCTTGCCTCCAAAATTCAGAGAGGCGAAATAAATGCTGTGCCTCTTTCTCCGTGCCAGGAAGCGCAGGGTGCAACATCTCGTCCTGTGCAGCAAGCTCTAGGACGGGGCTTTTGGAAAGAATATGATGATCAAGGGAATCTGAGGAGATCTGTGTCCAATACAGCAAGAATAATATGCACAGTGGGTCATGCAGGGAGAGTTCTTCGCTTTTTATTCCTACTGTCTGCTTTCAGGGAACAAAACTGATGAGTTCTAATTTTTACCACCCTGCCCTTTGTGTCCAAACCTTGACAATGGCCCATCGTTACCTTAGAATGGTCAGTGGTGATTTGATGAATAACTGCCAAGGCCTGGCCTTGCCTTATTTGAGGATTACCTGGTGCCGTTTTACAGGTGAGAAAACTGAGATCATGGTCAAGAGACTTGGCTTCAGTCACACAGTCAGAACATTCATCTGAACTTGGGGCTTCCGATCTGGAACTTGTAGACTGTGGGGGTGGAGAGAGATACGCGGTCACGTCCTGCTTGGCATGAGCAAATGCTGTGCCAAGTGCTTTACTGGTATGAGCTTACCTGCCTTTATAACCGGCCGGTGAAGTGGGCGCTACTATTATTCTCCCACTTTATAGACAGGAGTCCGAGACTTGGGGAGGTTAATTACTTGCCCAGGGTCACACAGAAAGAAGTGGGGATTAGAACCAGATGGTCTGGTGTCAGATTTTGGGATGTCATTCACTAGCCAGTATAGCTGCCAAAGAGTTAGGGACACAGCCACCCACAGATGGGTGGGCACTGCCCACTGCTTTTCCATGGGATGACCTCATGGTAAAGACACCTGAGGAGAAAGGCAAAGGAGCAGGACTTTCTAAAGCCTCAAACTACTGCTAGAGCAAAAGAGCTCTGTACCGAATTGCCCTGGGAAGAGGAGTTTGAAGCTTTTTTTGGTTTTCTGTTTTCAGAGTTGGGGTTTTGCTATGTTGTCCAGGCTAGACTCAAACTCCTTCTGAGTAGCTGGGGCTAGATGCACACACCACCACATCCAATTCAGTTTCAAGCTTTAGGAAACCAGAATGCAGCTGGGCACAGTGGCTCATGCCTGTAATCCCAGCACTTTAGGAAGCCGAGGTGGCAGACCATCTAAGGTCGGGAGTTCGAGAACAGGCTGATCAACACGGAGAAACCCCGTCTCTACTAAAAATACAAAATTAGCTGGGCATGGTGGCACATGCCTGTAATTCCAGCTACTCAGGAGGTCAAGGCAGGAGAATCGCTTGAACCTGGGAGGCGGAGGTTGCGGTGAGCCGAGATCGCACCATTGCACTCCAGCCTGGGCAACAAGAGCGAAACTCCGCCTCAAAAAAAAGAAAAGAAAGAAACCAGAATCCAGGATGTTGTTCTAACCCCCAGCCCCAATCCTACCCTCGCAGGAACGTATGCTTTACAGCCATTTAAACCCCAAACATGGACGCATTTGCAGAGCCATAGTATCTTTTTGCAAGTAGTTTTTTTTCAGCAGAATGTGCTTTGCCAACATCATGAGCAATCGTAGCGCCCTCCCACAACACCACTGAAAGGAGCAGTGGGATATCTTAGATTTCACATAATGCCTCTTCTCTGAACAGTTGTAGGCATTTGCAGAGCCAAAGCATTACTTTATAGCTACTCTTCCTGTATCTATTTAGTCAACATGAATTCTGTGCCTACAGTTCACCGAACATGCAAAAGTAAATAAAAAGCTCCCAGTTTTGGAGTTCACATCTGGGGGAAAAGGAATAACCATTGCGTATTAACTTTTAATTTCTTTCCTTATTTTTTTTTTTTTTTTGAGACAGGATCTCTCTGTGTCACTCAGGCTGGAGTACAGTGGCACAATCACAGCTCACTGCAGCCTTGAGCCCCCAGACTCAAGCGATCCTTCCACTTCAGCTTCCCGAGTAGCTGGGAGCACAGGTGCACGCCACCAAACCCAGCTAATTTTATTTATTTATTTTATCAGGAACACTTGCACTTTATTTAACACCAATGTAGAAAAGCGTGTGAGGACAAAGGGCTGATACAGGACTTGGCTCGGGGCAGGGTGAGGAATGGAAGGTGGAGTATGTGGGGAACAGGTCACGGGCAGAGCCCCTGGCCTGGATGATTCCTCTCGATCTATTGATAGGCTTGCAGAATCAGTATTGGGATGATGATCAGCAGAATGGTCATGATGATGCCCATGATCAGGGCCCAGATTTTCAGGCATTTGGCGGTGGAGGCATCGGCCTGGGCCCTGGTCAGGACACCAACCATCTTCCTGTCCCTAGACTTCACAGAGTAGGCGAACGCTATGAAGCCCAGGCAGCAGGAGTTCATGAAGAGGGTGTGGAACAGGGACCAGACGACATGGTCGGGCACAGCGGTCTCGCTGTGGATGTGGATCACAGTGGATGTCAGGGGAGCTGGGTTGTGGGGCACCCCCAGCGCAGCCACCTCATGCTCTTCCCTCAGCATCTCATAGTTGGGTGGACGGCTGGTGCTGGCGGGAGTGAAGAAGGATTGGACAGTGTGGCTCATGGTGTCCAGGGAAGACCAGCTGTGGTCAGGTTGCTGGGATGGTTCTTAGTGGGCCCTCCCTTTCTCCACTAGTTTATTTATTTTTTAATTTTATTTTTTTGAGACAGAGTCTCACTCTGTTACCCAGGCTGGAGTGCAGTGGCGTGATCTCAGCTCACTGCAATCTCTGCCTCCTGGGCTCAAGTGATTCTCCTGCCTCAGCCTCCTGAGTAGTTGGGATTACAGGTGCTCACTACCATGCCTGGCTACTGTTTGTATTTTTAGTAGAGTTGAGGTTTCACCATGTTGGCCAAGCTGGTCTTGAACTCCTGACCTCAGGTGATGCGCCTGCCTTGGCCTCCCAAAGTGCTGAGATGACAGGCATGAGCCACTGCACACGGCCTATTTTAAATTTTTTTGTAGAGACGGGTCTCCCTATGTTGCCCAGGCTGGTCTTGAACTCCTGGCTCAAGCGATCCTCCTGTCTCAGTCTTCCAAAGTGCTGCGATGAAAGGAAGGAGCCACCCTGCCTGGCTGCACATTAACGTTTCAGTGCCTCTTACTTCGAATTGAAAATTAGCAGGTAACAAGCGACATAGAAGTGAGAGACTATGAACCTGAAATGGTCAGCCCTTGGCCCTGACTTCAACAGGGACCTTTTTTTTTCTGTGGGTCTGACATGTGTCTGGCTGGGTTTCTAAATCAGGCTTTATTTTAGAATTAGTGCATGAATTTATAATGAGCCAGGCCTAGTAAAATCAGTCCTTGTTCTTATGAAGGTATGAAAAAAACTTATTTCACAAAATGTTATACAGTATAATAAGATATCCTTTTTTTTTTTTTTTTTTAAGAGAGATGGGGGTCTCACTACATTGTCCAGGCTGGTCTCAAACTCCTGGGCACACGCAGCCTCCTGCCTCAGGCTCCCAAAGTGTTGGGATTCCAGGCACGAGCCACCACACCCAGCCTATAATATATCCAATTTTTGAAAATTGTAAGGCCATTTGCAATTGAAATAGTATTATTGATATTGATAAATTAGATCATTTGCTTCATTTTTAATATACTATAGTGGGCTCAAAGGTCAGCTGATTTACTTGAATAAACAACAAATCAATGGCAGAAGTGATAGGTTTCAAGTTTATTTCCTTCATTTGTTTCCACTCTGAGGTGGGAACCTTGTCTTATTTATGTGGAATTCTCAGAGCCTGGTAAAATGCTGGCATGTAGGAGATGCTGAATAACTATTTATTGACATTCTGAGGAAAATATAGCAAAGAAAGGAAGAAAAGGAAGGTGTAGAGAATAATCACGCTTCCAGGGAGAGGCAGTTCCGTGTTGACTCCTCCCCCACGCTCCCGATGGCTCCTCGCAGGCTGCTCTCCTGCGGGTCCACGCGTCTCCTCACACACAGTCTCGGATCAGCCTCTGTGTGTGGCAGATGATTCTTCACTCACATGCCTGTGTTTGCCACGGGCACCGGCGTGGATGAGGATGACGAGGAAGAAGGAGCCGTGGTTTACCCTTCTCTGTACATGTGACTGTGAGGCTATGGAAGGAGAGTGGGGGTCGGGGTCTTTTTGAGTCTCTGCTCTGCCACCAGAAAGGCCCTGTGGCCTGTGACAAATCCCAGAGACCCTCTGAGCCTCAGTTTCCTCATATGTAAAATGGGAATAACCCAGACTAAGTCATTGTATGTGGGAAATGCCCAGTGACTCAGTGCATTGCTTTGTCAGCTGCAAAAGGCTGCTGCTGTCAGGCTGGAATTATCATTGTTATGTTTATATTATATCGTAGAGGAGTAATAAGAAGTGGAGTTCCATCCAATCAGCTCATTAAAGAGAGTTGAGCCCTCCTTTCAGCCTCCTGAGTAGCTAAGATTACAGGTGTGTGCCACCATGCCCGGCTAATTTTGTATTTTTAGTAGAGACCGGGTTTTACTATGTTGGGCAGGCTGGTCTTGAACTCCTGACCTCAAGCGATCTGCCCACCTTGGCCTCCCAAAGTATTGGGATTATACGTGTGAGCCACTGCCCCTGGCCCAGTTGTCTTTCTATTTGAAAAGGGCCAAACAAGGAGAGCCGTGAGTCTGATTGTTAGCATTCAAACACCTGATTGCCATTCTCTCCAAAGCCCACTGTCTAAGCATTGCTTTCCAGGCAGTGGGGCAGTCTCAGCACAGCCCGTCAAACGCGGGGGCTCCACTCTGCAGGGACTGAACGCTTGTTTGCACAGCCCACTTCTGGAAACCGTGCTCACCAGTTTGATACACATTGTGATCACTGCCATAGAAGTGTTTTCACCTTTAAAATGGAATCAGTCCCTCTGGGTGTGGAAGCCTGGGCCCAGGCCGGCAGCTCTTTCTTTCTTTTTTTTCCTTTTTTTTGAGATGGAGTCTCGCTTTGTCTCCAGGCTGCAGTGCAGTGGCATGATCTCAGCTCACTGCAACCTCCGACTCCCTGGTTCAAGTGATTCTCCTGCCTCAGCCTCCCAAGTAGCTGGGATTACAGGCACGAGCCACCACGTTCACCTAATTTTGTATTTCTAGTAGAGACAGGGTTTCACCATGTTGGCCAGGATGGTCTCGAACTCCTGACCTCGTGTTCCACCCGCCTCAGCCACCCAAAGTGCTGGGATTACAGGTGTCAGCCACCACGCCTGGCATGGTTGTGGGATTCTAACAGCAAATGGATGTGCCAGCCATCAGAATCTTGATATTTTCTTCCTTTCTTTTCTACCAGCCCCCAGAACCCTGAAGGGAGCATTTAGCAACCTTCTTGTTCTTGCTGACTAGGGCTGAGGGTCAGACCTCAGGTCTCCCCTCTGGGTTTATCGGTCTCTTTAACCTTGCATGCTGCTGGGCCTTGAATGGCCTCCCAAATGTCATCCTCTCCTCAAGGAGCTTACATCCTGGAGAGGAGGGGAGGAAACTCAAGAGAGTGCAGTCTGGGGCATCTGGGCTGGATGATAAATAGGATCCTGATAAGAAGTCATGGGTGGAGAGGGTGTCCCGAGCATGGGGAAGGGCTTGGGCAAGGATGTGGGGGCAGGGTGGTCACTTGGAGCTGTGGCAGGAGCACGCTGGGTCAGATCAGCTTGCCCTCCCCTCTTCTCTCCTTCTTCTGTCTCCTGCTATGGGTGCTTTGCTGCCAGAAATTTCCTGAGCCTGAATTTGCTGTTAGACTGAATGGCAATGAACCGGCTGGGGCAGCGGTGACAGGAGGGCAGGGGGAGGCGCCCCACAGCAGCTGTAGCCCTGTGTCAGGGGGCCGCGTGTCCAGATGGTGCTGGGTCAGAGCTGGCAGTGTCTGGAGGGGGCGGAGAGGGATGGTGAAGAGAACGAGACAGCCTGAGGGTCTGGAGAGAGTGGCAGAGACAGTGCTTGGCGACTTGAGAGCCACGTTCCAGGACTGCTTGGAGGTCACTGGGGAGGGATACTGCTTGGTATCCTGGTGGTCTCAAGGATACCAAGAGATACCCTAGAGAGCCCAAGGAAGCTGTAGATGTTCGGAGGGACCCACAGAGCTAAAGGCATCAAAGGATGTGAGGGTCGGGGAAGAAAGATGGAGAGAATTGAGGATCTCAGACGCTGAGCGCTGGAACTGGAGGGCTGGAGGGGATGGGAGATTTAAGGGTTTCCCTCCTCCCTCCTCGATCATGGCTGAGTGTAGACTTGATGGCTGAGGAGTAGTCATGGCAGTCAGGCCTTCAGATTTCCTAGAGCAGCTCCAGGGACTGAGGTCCTCACACGTGGTCCCAACATCATCCCGGACCACCTCAGGGACGAGGCAGTTGGTCCAGCTGATGCTTTGGCTCAGGCATCATGTGTCCTGAGGTACGTGGTGGACTTTCCACTTGACAGACGACTTAACCGAGGATCACAGAAGTAAATTACCAATAACTTTGCTAGAGAAAATTAAAGTTAACTAGTTTTAGTTAATTATGTTGAACCAAGATTCAGTTTAGGTCTGGCTCTCAGGTAGTATTTTTTTCCTTTCTGTACTCTCTGTTGGCTTGTTGTCATTAATACATCCAGTGTCTATTGGAAACCTAGAGTGTGCTGGAATTTGTTATGGCTTCAAGGGATGCAAAGATAAAGAGACATGAGGATAAGAAAGATATATAGGCAAACAAATCCAGGTAATTCAGAGTTTAACTTTGAAGCAAGGATTTGGGGGAAGAGGTATAAGAAGGAGCGATCCATTCTGCCTAGGATGAGATTCATGGGGGAGAGAAGTCAGGAAGGGCTTCAGAGAGGAGGTGGCAGTTGAAAGAGCTGATTTAAAGGGGGAGTAGGTGATCCTCAAGATAAATGGGAAGGGAGAGGTGGAGGAGAGTGGAGGATGCTGAGTCGCAGGAGCAAAGTGAATGAGGGCATGCAGGCTTAGAGCTGCGAAGCCCTCTGGAGGATGGTGTGGGTGTGAAGGGGCAGGAGGCTCAAGAGACGAAGCCTGGAGGTAGGCCTGTCTGCAAGCTTTGTGCTTACCTCAATGGCACTAGCAAGCCAGTGAAGGATTTTCAGCAGGAAAGTGTCGAGATCCAAGTTTCATCATCCTCATTCCTTCATTTACGGTGCTCTTGTAGCATTTGGTTCTTCCACAGCTCCGTGAGGATTTGCAATTACACATGTCTTCTCTCCCCGTAGACAGCATGCCCCTCAGGGCAGGGGCTCGTTCTTGCCCATCTTCGTGACTTCTTCGCCCACTGCAGGACCTACTATGAGTGGGTATTCAGCACATCGCTATTCGCTAAACACATTTTGGTGCTGGGGCCATACAGACACTGTCCTGCCCATAAGGACTAATGCCCACCCATCTCCAAAGCCCTCTTGGTCCAGAGTGGTGCACCATGTAGGCAGCGTGATATAGTGGAGAATGTGTGTACAGATCTGACTTTGAATCCCAGCTCTGCCATTTATTAGTTGTGGGACTTTAAGCAAGTTATTTGACTTCTGTAAGGCTCAGTTTCCTCATCTGTAAAATGTCAGCAATAGTATGAGCTTACCAGATTGTTTTTTGTGT